TTGGCAAGGTTCCACTTCTTTTGAGCATATTGATACTATCTTGGAAAAGAATGATGAAAATCATGCAAAAAATGATACAAAAGAATATGTCATTCACTTACTTTTCTCTACTGGAAATACACAACTGAAATCACTCTCGTTTGAACATGTAGTTAGTCAAACCAACAAATATCACACACCAAATCTCCTCGGGCCTGAAATGAGATATGGTAGGTTAGGCAATCACCATGACTTCACTATCGAAACTTTTGCCTTCTACTTGGGAACATTTGTAAACACAACAGAGAGCATTTGTAAACACAAGTGATGAATAAGCGACATCGACTACCTCTTCCAACTAAAGCCTGCATATTTAATTGAGTACTCCAAAGGAACTTCTGTTTCTATTTTCAAGAACGTTCTCACACAGCAGGGTCCTCATTTGAATTGAACGTCCAAGTGACCTTAAGGGGATAATCTAGTGCACACGCAGGGGCCTCGTCGGCAGAAGGTCGAGAGCACGCAGCCTCTTGCAGTACTTATTTCCACTGTTGGGTCCACTGCACGCTAAAATATCGGATACCTATCTCAAGGCTGCGTGACATCTTTCTATGTCAAAACTGGTGGTAGGAGGATCATAACTGGCATTAGCACCCTACATGAATATTCATGTGAAATAGGGAATTTAGTTTTCGATTTTATTTTTCAAATATACCATATAGTTTCCTAACCTCATATTGGAAAAACAACCTCGTACGTCAAGGATTCAACAGACTTTGTGGAAAAAAATAAGAATATAAGCTTGGAGCTAAGTAGTGTTCTGGCCAGTTTCGACAGTTCTTGTTCACCAACGTCCCGCTGGAAGATTCTTTGAGAGAGATATAGCCAACCTGTTTCCTAGTATATTGTCGGACTCTTCAAGGCCTGCCTCACGAAAAGTTACTTCCAATGGAAAATATATTTCTATGAGCAATTAGACGGCGTAGCGATGGGAAACCCACTTAGTCTGGTGATAGCCAACTTCTTTATGGAGCACTTTGAGAAGAAGGCAATCGAAGCTTTCGATTTTAAACCAATCATTTGGCTACGATACGTGGATGACACTTTTGTCATTTGGAGATAAAGGAGTGACAGACTGAACCTATTTCTAGAACACATAAATGCTCAACACGCTAGCATCAAGTTCATCATGGAGACTAAATAGAAACAACATATGCCTTTCTGAATGTACTCATCGGAAGGCGTGGCATACGAAGACACATAAAATGTTTGTTCTGGTTCTAACATCCGAAACTGTTTGGAAACTGCGCAAGACATGATGCTTACAAGCAAAAAATCTCAAATAGTCCGAAATAGTATCGCACACTTGTTTAAACCAGAACACTTTTGAGGAGACCACTGTGCCACCTATCGTATATATGAAGAGATGAAGATGAGAAAATACTATTGATCATGTCCATTTTGTTATGTAGCGTATCCTCATAGTCAGTTCAAAAAATATTATCTAACCTCAATCATCAATTATTCGAATCAAGTAAATAAAAAAACATCCTAGCAAATATCCCAAACAAATTTCCACATAAATGCACATGAGCAACGGGAACAGTTCTCAACAGTTCAAGGTCGAGAGCAAGAACGATTCGGGATGGTTCAAAACAGTTAAGGATCATTTCACAGTCGAAACCAGAACAGAGGTTTCATCTGTGTGAAATTATCCTCAATAAACCAGAAAGTTCTTTATCAACTGCGCATGATCCTGACGTCCTAGGATCTGAATTTCTTAGAACCAGAACAAACCTAAAGTGTACCGAAAACCGACACATACGGACAGATATCTGCATGCCTTCTCGAACCACCATCCAAGTCACAAGCGGGGAATTATCAACACCCTGACGGAACGTGCTCGTAGAATATGTGAACCGGAACACCTACAAAAAGAATCGAAGCATTTTCAAGTGGCTTTAAGGTCGAATAGATACAGGGTGACCGAGATCAACAAGGCCATGAAACTGAAGACTTCCATAAGTCAAAATAGGGAAGGAACTCAAACGGTTGCACGTGCATTTCTTTCGTACATTCTAGGGTTACAGACAGAATCAAAAAAATCTAAGGAAATCACAAAATAAAAACACTGTTCAAGCCCATCAGGAAAATACAACAAAGCCATAGATCAGCGAAAGACAAAAGAAATCCACTATCAGCTACGAGGGTATATCGTAAACCATGCACCTGCGGAAAAGTTTTTATCGGTGCCACCAAAAGATCCATGGGTACAAGGCTGAATGAACATCGGAGAAACTATAGTGTAGGTCAGATAAAAAAAATGACAGTAGCGAAACACACGCTCAGTGAAGGAGATCACACGATACTGTTTGAATATGTGAAAGTACTTGCACCCTGCGGTAAACTTTTACCAGACTTGGAATCCCATACTATGATATGCAACAGCGCAATGCAATGTTACGTCATCATCAGATAATAACACTTTGGCCAATAGCAACGAGTCAACAAGAGAGCCGGACTACTTAAATCAACATAAACACATCCTACGCACTGGAAATCACCAGTAATCGGTGAATCATCAATATGAATAAACCTCTGAAGAAGCCGGAGAAACGTTACCATGCAGTTCCAAACTGTGACGGCCTTCAAATCCGAATGAAGATAGTAACACTGATCATATTGTATAATTGAAAAATGAAATCAAAAACTGAATTTCCTCTTTCACATAAATATTTGACACATTCAAGTAGTGTGCTAATGCCAGTTCTGATCCTCCCACCACCATTTTTGAACCAGAGAGATGTCACACAGCCCTGAGCTAGGTGTCCGATATTTCAGTGTGCAGTGGACCCAGCAGTGGAAAGGAGTACTACAGGAGACTGTGTGCTTTCGACCTTCTGTCGACGCGGTCTGTGCGAGTGCACCAGATTATCCCCTGAAGGTCACTTCAAAACTTTGATCGAGACATTTTGTCGTTCGCCCATCGGCCAGAACTTTACACTTGTATAGCTTGGTGAGTAGACGGTTCCACCGTAACGTTCAATCTAAATGAGGACCCTGCTGTGCGAGGACTTTCTTGAAAATAGAAGTAGTAGTTCTTTTGAAGTACTCAATTGAGTATCCAGGCTTTACACAGTCACGACCACGAAAGCCTCAACGAATTTATCATGCCATATGATGTTTTGACGATTGGACATGCTGAACCAGTCAGCTCAATTAATATAAGAAACGCATTGAACATCGTATTTTATAAATTATTCCCAACTAGAATTACCATAATTTTCATATTCTTCTGAAACAGAAACTAATAATACGTGTATCAGTGCTGGAGGACCAGACTATCAGACATCTGTATTTTAATTTCACAATTCAAATAGTGTTTTGACTGTAGAAAACTTCATGAAATATAGATTTTCTTCAGTTTTTGGGTGATATATTCAAATCGTGAATATTACTGGAGTTCTATCCCAACATCAAACCGTCATTTTCAACACCTCGACACGTGTTTCAATTACCAAGTGATTATTTTCAAGAGGAAGATGAATTCAAATCTACATACGAAGTTGTCCTTATTCATACCATAGATACCTTTGCTAGGTACCGGCGTCTTACTTGTCTTAAAATCAATTTTACAATGCTGCCTTATCTGATAACTGAAAATATCATTTCAACAAGCTTTATAGTGAACTATTAGGTATTGGTCCATCATCGTTATTCATAATATGATTACATTGACTTATTTCTGAGCTCTCATATGTATCTAGATTCCTGTTATTGTTAACATGCCTAACTAATCTGGATGCACTAAAGTCTATGAAATGGTTTTGCTGCAAAACATAATTTTTCTGGTCCTCCAAATTTAAGGTGTGCTTAGTGTTCTTTATATCTTATTTCAATAGATCTTTTGGTCTGTCTATAATATATTGCATTGTAGTAAATTCCAGACTTTTCCGAATTCTCGACTTTGTGGATTTCCTGAAAGGCACTGTAGTGTATGACTTGTTTTATATACCATTTTCATACTTAGTTTCTTGAAAATCTTTTCAGAGTTCTTCGTGTGTTTGTGGTATGAAATTGAGATATATATTCATCTTGGTTTTAGTGTTTCTAAAAGTCGAGATTTCTTCCATTCGTATCTAGCCTAAACTTTTTCTTCCTTATAATATCATCTGATTTCATGTATTGTCACTTTTTATTTTGTGAACTTCTCATGCACTAGATACACTAGAAAATCCAGCCCAGCACGTTTGTGCTCTCCACAGTGATATGAACTGTCAGGAGTGCTTGTTTCCTTCCTACATACATCGTATTCTAGCTTGCTTTCCACATTTACTCCTCATTACCAAAACGTCAAGAAATGTAAGTTGGTGTAAATCTGTTATTTAAAAAAGAAACAGGGTCGTCAATATTCGATTGAGGACTGAGGTTTGGTGTTGGGATAGAACTTCGGTAGATAATATTCATTACTACACCAAAGGTTCCAAACAGTGCATCACAAGTATTTGAATCGTAACTGACAACACATTATTACAACAATCTGAAACTTTTAACGTATCATATTCTGTTTGTATTTTTATATTTTCTTTCGTTGATCAGTCATCAATTTGAATTGATTTTCAATAATTGACCATTCTTTAAGTTCAGAAACTGATTCACGACAGAGTTGATACAGTTCGTTTCCACTTTAGCCTGGCCCACACTGATAGACTGGAAAAACGAGTATATTATTTTCATTCATGTGTGATCTCATTTGCTATTGAATAACCTTCTCCACTACTTTCTAAAGAAAAAATAGCAACGAACTCTATAAAAATAATGGTTCAACTATTCAATTACGAAATAGGTATGTTAACATGTTGTCATATCCGAATGACTGAATGTAAAAACCTGATTCTTATTTGAATAAAAAAAGTAAATAATCCATTGATATTGTTTTCAATTTGGGTACTGTTTATATTTACCTAGAAATGTGCACTATTAGTATAACAGTAAATAAACATCATTAGATAAATATTGTCTCTTTTCTTCCTTCACACTATTGAGATCTGCTACCAATTTAATCTAGTTCCTTCGTTAAGCCCCAAGTATTTTTTTCACACTATATCCAGGAAATGAATAAATAGCAGAGATCAATAAAAATATCAGGAGGACACCAACCAAAACTTTGATCATCTTCCATCGATACAACTTACAAACGATATGCTTCAAGGTCATCAACGGATTTTTGAACCATAGGAACGATGTATCAGGGCGACTGAAAAAAAAGGTAAAAATGGATATATTGAAGTTGAGAGAAGAAAAGTATATTGCCTTCGAACGTGTTTGGAATTGTACAAAATAACTGAGAATATAACTATGAATCATTCAACTCTCAAAAAGTGAAATTTATATGTCAAAACATTTTCTGAATAGCTTTTTCAACTCTTGAAGAATAAAAAAGCGAATGATTGTAATACAGAAAATTCCAATGATATCCATCAGGATATATTACAAACTGATGAAAAATAAGTCATATATTTTTTTATGAACATCACTCAAATGTTTAAATTTCGTATCATCAAAAAGTTATTCGTAGTCACTTGAATACATTTATCTATATCGAATAAATTAATCAATAAAAAACATGTGGTCCCAAATGGCTCTAATGCAGTGTTAGTATCGTAAATTTTGGGGGTGTCTATATTTGTTGTGATATTGCTAATCACACCATGCCAATATTTGAGGATATCTTACCTTACTATCATAATTTTTATTGATTTCAGGAAGTTCGGATTATTATTTCTTTCTATATAGTTGAAAATCATTCAAAGAAAGGTATAATGAGTGAAATTTACCGTTTATTTGTTACGTGCTGATTTGACCATATTTACGTAAACAAGCTTTCACATGTTTCTGATATTTGATGATTACCAACTTCAATATTTGACATATACTAATATGGAGAAAACAAGAGAAAATTGAAAACATTAAATCATTGGCAGCTAGTATTGTTGCGTATTATACTGCAATAACAACATAAAGAAGAGTAAATTAATACTTTACAGATTTCTAGTTTCATAGGATGAACAATATCATTTTGAAGTGCCCTAAATGTGGATGTTATATAATTAAAACACATTAAATCCATTGCGTGAAAATTTAAAGTCTTTCGTGTTACAATCACAGTTATAACTGAATATGGGTCTTGAATATGGTCAATTAGAGTATTAAAAAAATTGACATTGAACTCAACATACTTCGGAAAAGGTAATGCTTGAGGTTCATGGCGACCCAATCCTGCTGGTTCATTTGAAGCTTCTTCCATCATGAGAATTTCTATTTCTGCTTCAACTTTTCCCTGAAATTAACAAAAACTTTCCATATCTCAACAATGCTTAATGAATATAAGTGAATGTATTTGGAAGTTTCGAAACATGACTCACAATTTTAACTCTTATAATATTCGATGAATATGAAAAGGCCTATTTTATAGTGAGTGAGAAGATATTCAGAATTATACTCCAACTCGAACCGAATCGATAGTTACGCAGGTCTAGACAGGCCACAAATGATTTCGAAAAAAAAAATCACAAAATTCCAACTTTGAAGTCGAAATTTAATGAAATTCCAAGTTCAAAGTCGAAATTTAACAAAATTCCAAACTCTTAGTCTTTGACTTAGTTTTTTGACTTTACATTTCGTTAAAATCCCACCTCAAACTTCCGATTCTAATAAATTCAGACTTCAAATTCGGAATTTAGCTAATTTTATTCCAAAGAAAATGAATGACCACCTACGAATTCATATAGAATAATAATGGTGGATGTATGTAGGTTTCACGGCCGCTAACTGAAAATGTTTCCAGTTGTTCTGGGTTCATTAGCTATGGTCTGCAGGTTTTTTATCTGACGTTTCGTTTGCTATTGCGGCAACGGTCGAAGTAATCTATCTTGCTGCGATGCGCAAACTGAAAATGATTCTGTTGCGTTTGTACTTATAATGAGACTAGGTGTCAGACGACCTGAATGGTCCAACCGTTCTTCAATCATTGGCAAAATCTTTGGATTATGAAGTGCTGGTATGCATGTATTGTTGGTGTTTGAACTATCTTCCTTACGGTTGAGATTATTCTTATGTTTATGTATTTCTTTGCCCTCTATAGCCCCGGACAGTAAACCTTTGGTTTTATCATGAACTTGCATGCGTTCGAAGGGACTGTCATGGCTGCCTTCTGAGAGAGCGTGTTATGCAACTGCCGATTGATCTGTTCCACCGTAGCATAAATTGGCCGTAGCCAAACAGATGAATCGGCAGTTGCAGAACATGCTCTCTCAGAGGCAGTCATGACATTGCCTTCTAACGCGGGATGAAACGAAGACATTGAATAGAAAAAATGAAAAATTCAATATTTCTGGATATTGTGTCTGTAACAGGCATAATATGAGTGTTTTCAGCAGAATCTTAGGGTTCCGCGATACCCCTGTGGCGGTTCCGCAAGAAATTAGAAACAAATTCAAAACACCTATCTCTGGTCGACCGTTTTGACGCGGCGTATCACGATTCACGAGTAGCAGCAGAACTCAGTGGGTGAACGTACCATACAATTTCTACTATGCCTCCACCGCCGTTATCTACTTGCGAGCGCACAGCTGTTTCTTTGGACTAACTCTTCTATGCAGTGACTATCGTGCATTATTTTGACCCCATCATCATCCTGACATATTACGTTATTAATAAAGAGGAATGATACGTTGGCTAGAAGGCGTTTAACTTGTTGCAACAATACTTCTAATGAAGCCGAATGTTCAAAAGCAGTACTCGCGGAGTGTACAGTAATTATCGATCCAGACGATGATGCAACGACGTCATATTCCAAGATTTCAAAGGCGAGACTGTACACTTCGAGTCTAAAGACAAGAATTGACAATTTCTTTATGTAAAAAAACAGTTATTGGAAAGTCAAAAAATGATGATGCATGTAATCAATGAGAAGGCCATGGAGGCATCATATTTAGTTAGCCATCGCATTGCATAAGCAGGTGAAGCGTACACTATCACTGAGAATATATTAAACGATACCAGTTCACGAAGAACTCATGATCTGGCCAGCTACGTCAAATAAGAACTATTTACACGTTTACAAAAACTATGATTCATCTTACAAATGGATGAGTCGACTGATATCGCTGATCTGGCTATCTTGTTGGTTATCCATATGGATATCCATGTGTTCACCGCTGCCCATAAACACTACCGGAGAAGAAATTTTCAATAAAATAAAGAATTAAAAAAAAATCTCAGTTGGAACGATTGAATTGATATTTGTACAGATGGGGTCAAGGCGATGACGGTTTGAAATAGCAGAAGTAGTGTCATGAATAAAAAGTGAAGCGTCTAATTTTAGTTCTAGTCATTGTATCCTGCATAGACAAGCACTTGCGATGAAGCAAATGCAGTCAAATCTAAAATTAGTTATGAATGAAGCGGTAAAAATAATCAATTTTATCAAATCACGACCATTATAATTCCGATTATTCTCATTATTGCGTGAAGATTGTGGCAGCAAACATAAAACACTGCTGCTCTATACAAAAGTGCGATGGCTGTCTTGGGGTAAAACTCCAAGAAGGCTATTTGAACTTAGAGCTGAGTTACAAATGTTTATTTCAGATACTTCTTTCAATTGAAAGACCGTTTGTATGATGAAACTTGGTTGTTCCGATTGTCTTTTATGGCAGATATCTCCAAAAAACTGAAAGAATTAAATTTATCAGTGCAAGGTAAACATACAACAGTATTCCACGCCCGTAACAAAATAACTGCCTCCAAAAGAAAATTAGATTATTGGATTATTTGCGTTGGTAAGAGAGAAAGAGGGACGCTTTGCGTCACTCAGTGAGTTTTTTAGCAATATACGATCCAGAAATGTTTCAAGAAGATGTATTTGAAGAATTGATTCAATATCTCACTTCGATGCGCACATCTTTTGAGAAGTATTTTTCCGAAGAATAGAATACAAAAATGAAACTGAATTCATGGATTCATAATCCTTTTTTACCCAACTTGCAAAAGCTCGAAAGTATGTCAAACGAGATATATGAATCTCTTTTCGAAATGTCATCAGACACAAGTATGGAGTCTATTCAAAACGATTTTCGGTGCAGAATCCGTGATGAATATTGTATGCTTGCCAAAATGACTTTGAATATTCTTTTCCCGTTCCCAACAACATATTTGTGTGAAACAGGATTCTCAAACTATGTAGCCACGAAAACAAAATGCCGTAATAGAAAGGACACCAAACCTGATATGAGTCTTCAACTGTCTTCTATCAAACCTAATATCAACCAATTGATGAAAAAAAAAACAGTTGCATACCTCCCATTAGTTACATTTTTTCTTTATCAATATCTTCTATTATGATAATCGACATCAAACATTCTGAAGTAGCACGTCCGATGATATTGATGTGGAAAATGGGTTTTTGAAAGAACTTCCAATAATAGTTCAGATAATCAAAATATAGCGAGAATGAGGCAATTTGAATGACCAGGAACCTGATACATCGCTCATAGTAATATTTGTTATTTTATGTCACATAAGTGGACATGTAATGGACCGGAGTAGACATAACAATCTTATGATTAATAGATCTGTCTGACGAAGATTTTATCCCTACAGATGCTGAAAAAATTTTGCAGAATAAATCAATTCTGATGAGAATGAATCGGTCACAGTAAAATAAGAGAACTGAAGTTTGGTGGAAAAACGATTAATTAGTATTTCGAATTTTGACAACGGATGGATGATTGCAGAAGTGGGTACGACTGGGGGCGAAAAATAGATAAACAACGGTGACACTTGTCACTTAGAGGGCGTGCTGTCCATAATTATTCATACGATTCTATATTAGTATTTGAACTTGATGTTAGTGCGGATTCGACTTTGGCGCCGATACCCCTTACCACATTTCAGGCTTCACTTGCACGCGCCTATAGTCTTACTTATGCGCATTACAATGGTTTCTGTTTCCATGGTGAATCCCTTGGTTGTTTGTCCATACAAATAGTATAGAAGAATTCAATCCCTATAGCTTGAGTAGTAGAATAATTGGCAAGTTCATACTTTTTTCACACGTTCGTATAACATGATCTCGATTACTTTTTCATATTGCAATATTTTTGTGCTTCATATACATTTAACTACTTTTGCTCGTTTTTAAATGTTATAAAATATGATTTTTATTCATTTTCAATATAAGAATAACACCTGTGAATTGAAGTGAAACCAGTAGAGTCGGACGACTGAAAGTAGAAGCGGAAGTTGTCAGATTCTAATAGATCTATTATCTCACCACAAATGTGTTGTGTTTTTGTAAAACTCTTCAGTGAAAATCTCAAAATGAAGTGTTTTTTTGTATTGAAGGTTATCTAGTTTCGAGTCTCTATCCTATAAATATGACGCAAACCACTTGATGAATAGAAATCATCATTTGAAAACTAACCTTGGCACACTTTCAAAAAAGTGATCTAGAAAAAAGCACTTTTCTCAATCATCATGCAATACTCTTCTTGATTCGCGTTTCACCAACCAAGTTGACGTCTTTAGGAGAAAAGTGCTTGCTTTGGATTTATACAACGCTATATGTTCCAGTTTTACCTTCCATCACAACATCGATGTTGTGATCCAGAGAAATGAGTGAAGTTATGATCTTGAAAAGGTAATGTATACGCTGAATAACATATTAGAGAGAATAGTCTCGGCTCTTTGACTTTGGGAACATTTGTGAACAGAAAAGTGGGCATTTGTAAACACTAGTGATGAATAACCTACATCGACTACCTCTCTCAACTAATCGTGACTGTAGAAAGCCTGGATACTTAAATGAATACCCCAAAAGAACTACTGTTTTCATTTTCAAGAACGTCCTCGCACAGCAGGGTCCTCATTTAGATTGAACGTTACGGTGGTGGACTAGTCACCAAGCTATACAAGTGTAAAGTCCTGGTCGGTAGGCGAACGGAAAAATATCTCGATCCAAGTTTTGAAGTGACCTTAAGGAAATAATCTAGTGTGCACGCACGGATCGCGTCGGCAGAAGGTCGAGAGCACACAGCCTTTATTAGTACCTTTTTTCACTGCTGGGTCCACTGCACGCTGAAATATCGGATACCTAGCTCAAGGCCGTGTGACATCTTTCTAGGTCAAAAATAGTGGTGGGAGGATCATAACTGGCATTAGCACCCTACTTGAATATTTATGTGAAATAGGAAATTCAGTTTTCGATTTTATTTTTCATATATTTTCCTAATCTCATGTTGGAAAAACAACCTCGTACGTCAAGGATCCAACAGACTTTGTGGAAAATATAACCTTGGAGCTAAGTAGTGTTTTGGCCAGTTTCGACGTTGTCTCCTTGTTCACCAACGTCCCGCTGGAAGATTCTTTGAGAGAGATATAGCCAACCTGTTTCCTAGTATATTGTCGGACTCTTCAAGGCCTGCATCACGGAAAGTTACTTCCGATGGAAAATATATGAGCAATTAGATGGCGTAGCGATGGGAAACCCACTTAACCTGGTGATAGCCAACTTCTTTATGGAGCACTTTGAGAAGAAGGCAATCGAAGCTCTCGATTTTAAACCAATCATTTGGCTACGATACCTAGATGACACTTTTGTCATTTGGAGACAAGGGAGTGACAGACTGAACCTATTTCTAGAACACATAAATGCTCAACACCCTAGCATCAAGCTCATCATGGAGACTAAATAGAAACAACATATGCCTTTCTAAATGTACTCATCGGAAGGCGTGGCATACGAAGACACATAAAAGGTTTGTTCTGGTTCTAACATCCGAAACTGTTTGCAAACTGCGCAAGACATGATGCTTACGAGAAAAAATCTCAAATAGTCCGAAATAGTATCGGACACTTGTTTAAACCAGAACGCTTTTGAGGAGACCACTGTGCAACCTATCGTATATATGAAGAGATGAAGATGAGAAAATACTATTGATCATGTCCATTTTGTTATGTAGCGTGTCCTCATAGTCGGTTCAAAAAATGTTATCTAACCTCAATCATCAATTATTCAAATCAAGTAAATAAAAAAACATCCTAGCAAATATCCCAAACGAATTTCCACATAAATGCGCATGAGCAACGGGAACAGTTCTCAACAGTTCAGCTTCGAAAGCAAAAACGATTCGGGACGGTTCAAAACAGTTTTAGATCATTTCGCAGTCGAAACCAGAACAGAGGATTCATCAGTCTGAAATTATTCTCAATAAAACAGAACGTTCTATATCAACTGCGCATGATCCTGACGTCCTAGAACCTGAATTTCGTAGAACCAGAACAAACCTAAAGTGTACCGAAAACCGACACATACGGACAGATATCTGCATGCCTTTTCGAACCACCACCCAAGTCACAAGCGGGGAATTATTAACACCCTGACGGAACGTGCTCGTAGAATATGTGAAGCGGAACACCTACAAAAAGAATCGAATCATCTTTAAGTGGCTTTAAGATCGAATGGATATAGGGTGACCGACATCGACAAGACCACGAAACCGAAGACTTCCACAAGCCAAAATAGGACGGTTGCACGTGCATTTCTACCGTACATTCCTAGGGTTACAGACAAAACCAAAAAAATCTTTGGAAAGCACAAAATAAAAACACAGTTCAAGCCCACCAGGAAAATACAACAAAGCCTTAGATCAGCGAAAGATAAAAGATATCCACTCTCAGCTGCGGAGGTATATCGTAAACCATGCACCTGCGGAAAAGTTTATATTGGTACCACCAAAAGATCCATGGCTACAAGGCTGAATGAACATCGAAGAAACTGTACAGTAGGTCAGATAGAAAAAATCGGCAGTAGCAAAACACACGCTCAGTGAAGGAGATCACACGATACTGTTTGAATATGTGACTTGGAATCCCATACTTAAAGATGATAAAGTGGCAGCAGCGCAATGCAATGTTACGTCATAAACAGATAATAATACTTCAACCAATAGCAATACGTCAAAAAGAGAGGTGGACTACTTAAATCAAGATAAACACATCCTAAGCACTAGAAATCACCAGTAATCGGTGAATCATCAAGATGAATAAATCTCTGAGGAAGCCAGCCACTCGTGCCGGAGAAACGTTACTATGCAGTTCCAAACTGTGACGGCATTCAAACCCGAATGAAGATAGTAACACGGATCATATGGTATAATTGGAAAATGAAATCGAAAACTGAATTTCCTCCTCCACATAAATATTTGACACATTCAAGTAGGTTGCTAATGTCGGTTCTGATCTGCATTCTGACCACCATTTTTGAATCAGAAAGATGTTACACAGTCCTGAGCTAGGTGTCCGATATTTCAGTGTGCAGTGGACCCAGAAGTGGAAAGAAGTACTGCAGGAGACTGTGTGCTCTCGACCTTCTGTCGACGCGGTCCGTGCGTGTGCACCAGATTATCCCCTGAAGGACACTTCAAAACTTTGATCGAGACATTTTGTCGTTCGCCCATCGGCCAGAACTTCACACTTGTATAGCTTGGTGAGTATACGGTTCCACCGTAACGTTCAATCTAAATGAGGACCCTGCTGTGCGAGGACTTTCTTGAAAATAGAAGTAGTAGTTCTTTTGGAGTACTCAATTGAGTATCCAGGCTTTTCACAGTCACGGCCGCGAAAACCTCAACGAATTTATCATGCCATATGATGTTTTGACGATTGGACATGCTAAACCAATCAGCTCAATTAATAGAAGAAACGCATTGAACATTGTATTTTATAAATTATTCTCAACTAGAATTACAATAATTTTCATATTCTTCTGAAACAGAAACTAATAATACGTGTATCAGTGCAAACTTTTCAGAGTTCCTCGTGTGCTGGTGGTATGAAATTGAGATATATATTCATCTTGGTTTTAGTGTTTCTGAAAGTCGAGATTTTTTTCATTCTTATCCAACCTAAACTTTTTCCTCCTTATAATATCATCTGATTGCTATTTCATGTATTGTCACTTTTTATTTTGTGAACTTCTCATGCACTAGATACACTAGAAAATCCAGCCCAGCACGTTTGTGCTCTCCACAGTGATTGTACTGTCAGGAATATACATGTGAGTGCTTGTTTCTTTTCTACATAAATCGTATTCTAGCTTGCTTTCCACATTTACTCCTTATTACCAAAACGTCAAGAAATGTAAGTTGGTGGGAATCTGTTATTTAAAAAAGAAACAGGGTCGTCAATATTCGATTGAGGACTGAGGTTTGGTGTTGGGATGGAACTCCAGTAGATAATATTCATTACTACACCAAAGGTTCCAAACAGTGCATTACAAGTATTTAAATCGTAACTGACAACACATTGTTACAACAATCATCAATCGTATTTTATTTGCATTTTTATTTTTCACTTCGTTGATCAGTCATTCATTTGAATTGATTTTCAATTAGTGACCATTCTTTAAGTTCAGAAACTGATTCACGGCGGAGTTGATACAGTTCGTTTCCACTTTAGCCTGACCCACACTGATAAACTGGAAAAACGAGTATATTATTTTTATTTATGTGTGATCTCATTTGCTATTGAATAACCTTTTCCACTACTTTCTAAAGAAAACAGCGAACTCTATAAAAATGATGGTTCAACTATTCACTTACGAAATAGGTATTTAACATGTTGTCATATCCGAATGACTGTATGTAGAAACCTAATTCTTATTTGACTAAGAGAAGTAAACAATTCATTGATATTGTTGTTTTCAATTGAGGTAGTCAATACCTCATGTCGTTTTGAAATTTTGGTGTGAAAGTTGATGAGTCAAAAATACCGTAACATTCTGCTCAATAAATGAAAAATCGACGGATACTAGCGTTTTCATCAAGTGTTGACAGTAAATGAGAGTAAAGACACGCCCGAAGAAGCCATTGTATGGCGAAAAAGGTGTTGCGTTTTTGTAAAATCGTTTAGTGAAAATCTCACAATGAAGTATTTTTTGAATACATTAGTACATGATCATTCTCGGTTAGTTTCTTCAAAGGAAACAACATAAAAATTGTATTCTAAATTAGTGTGTGGAAGTAAATACTTTTTGAGAATATATGGTGAGATATATGGGTGATCAAATCTGACTTTTTCGAAACTGTTTTGAAAATCTGTTCAAACTCTGCTTTTCATTTACAGCACTGAATTGAAACCACGAAAATCAGAAAATATTACTATTTTTTCGTTTCTCTGGTTGAGATTTGGACCAAAGCAGTGAGATGAAATATATTTGGGGTATTTAAAAATTAATTTTCTTCCAATTATCAGTATTCTGTTTGCTGAAAGTAGAAACATTTATATTATAAACTGAAAGAACGATACACTATAATTGCAAAAAACACTGCGACTACGCTTAATATTGCTACTAGGCTTTCATGAGGGTTGTGAGAATTATATGTAATACTATTACAAAATCCTGTTTTCCTCGTATATTTCAAATATATTGTCGAATTTTTTCGTAGGGATTCTGAGACAAGTTTATCTGACGTAGACAAAAATAATTATATTTCCCGTTGGATCTATCATAACAACATATATCTAACACTTATTTTGAACTCAAATGAATGAACGAAACATAGAAGGATGCGAATCGATTATTGAAATCGTATGAATACTAACCGCACAGATAACTTCCTTAGTTTTCCGATCAATACTCTTGAATGGCCACCAACCTTTTGTTCTCCTAAGTTTGAACAAATTAATTTTGGGTGCATTTTTTGCCATGATAGATAATTGACATTTTTCTTTTGTTCTTGCAGGTCGGTGAAGTTTTGATAGCTCCAGTGTCAAATTTCCTACGGATAAAAATATTGTTATTGAGTTTTCCATTTCTGAAACGACGGAATAATAAATTGGAACTGTTATTTGGTCAATACTATATACTTTTAACGTATTCAAACCCAATTGGAAATTTGAAGGTACTATTCAATAATTGTCTCGGTGGTAATATCTGTTGAATGAAAATGGAATTCTTTTGGGTGATGCATATTGAGGATTGGTATGATGTTTTTCTAATCACAAAATGCTACACATGACATTTGGTGGGGGATATCAAAATACTTCAGTATTCAATTGAGTACCTTAGATCATTACAGAAACATCATTACTAAAATTTGTCCCGTCATTCTCAGTCATTATTTTCCACACCTTGCATGTTCATTATTACTGACATAATTGGTTCATCATTATTATGTTTCGAGTGGTGTAGAAATCACATAGACTGTTTTTTATCGATTATGGATTTTAAGAAAAAGGCATGTCTAGCTATAATTATTGTATTAAGTATGAACCGTTCTGTTGAATGTCGTTACTAGATGAAGGAATAGTTAAAAAAACGCAAAAACTATTCACATTTAGTATTACTGAAGGATAAATAAAATAAATGGTTTTCATAGATTGCGTTTTACTACTCTGTCTTGGTAGTATGCGCCTTTGTTGAAATTGATTTTCAAACAGTTTCTCATTACTTGGTATTCTGGTGGTGGCCCTTTCCCTCTATCAGTTTCTTGAATTGAGGAATGGATGTGGCTGACTATAACGATCAGTCTTCATTGTTGTCTTTGTCATATTTTTATTTTCTCATCTGTTCGTTGGAAATAGTTCTAAAAATATTAGGAGTCGACTCAACATCATATTTGTTATGCTATTATGAATCATTGTGAATCATTCCCTGAAAAAAGATAACGGCGGCCGCCGCTGATCATCATAAATCAATTGTGACGTGGTCAAGATCGCGTGCGACGTGCGCTTCGCGCTTCTCCTGGTTAAATGCAACGTTGCTTTGGCAGACTTCTAGCACATTCCATATTGGCTTCGAGATGATTCGATTACCATATATAAACGCTACCCACGCTACGATCGGAAAGTCAAGTTTCGGTCGAGTGCATGAAGTGCGGAAAGTCAAGAGCGATCTAATAAGGTGACATAGTTCGGTCAAATTAGACCAAAAAATAAGAGTAAAGCTACCTTAATTCCCACCAAGCTGACAATCAGTAGGATTGTTTAAAATATGATTGAAAATGAAATTTGAAAGTTTCCCATCTTTCACCTGTTTGGAAAAAATATTATTCAAGGTCACAAGTCAAAAAAATGGGTTTTTCGCAATTTTTAGATGAACGGTAAGATTTATCATAAAAATAGTTTCGACAAAAATTGTAGATCATAAAATTATTTACAAAAAATATATCCACATTTTTTTCCTAACAGCCACCGTTTTTGAGATATAACGATTCAAAAAGTTGTAAAAGTTGTAATCGTCATAATATGCATGAGTACGCCACGTATACATATACATATATGTAGTTTCGATATATGTTAAAATATTGATTTCAATGTTGAAAGAAAAAATTTACTGCTGAAAATATATTGGTGAACAAGCTAATAATGATGCTGATGTATTGATAATTGAAACAGCAAAAAAGAAATTCAATTTAACGAATAAAACTATTGTTGTTGGTGAAGATGTAGACTTACTCATATTACTCTCTGCTTGAACTTCAACTGAAAAAACTATTTTTTTCTTAAAACCAGGAAAAGTTCAACATCAATCGGAAATATATTCATCAAAAAGTTTATCTACTTTTGCAAAGTGTCAAAATCATGTACTATTTTTACACGCAATAATTGGCTGTGAAGCGCGAAAAAAACGCGCTAAGTACCCTACGTCATAGGTGGCGTGAAAATGTGTGCATATTAAGACGATTACAAGTTTAACAACTTTTTGAATCGTTATATCTCAAAAACTTCTTAAGAAAAAAGTATCGATAGATAATTTCATGATCTACAATTTTTGTCTGAAGTATTTTCATTACCGTTTTGCTGAAAATCACGAAAAACTCATTGTTTTTGACCTTTGACCTTGAATAAAATTTTTTCCATGCAGGGGAAAGATGGGGAACTTTCAAATTTCATTTTCAATCATATTTTAAACAATCTTACTGATTTATAGCTTGGTGGGAATTTAGGTAGCTTCGAATGTCCAAATTGACCGGACTAGACAGGCATTTGAATAATAATTGAAGTTTTGGTTGAAGTGTTTGGTTGTAATAACAGTGAAATGAAGTTAATTCAATTTCAACTATTGTACAGTTGACCCACGAGGAAATGTTTCATTCAGGGACACACTTTAATGACAGGAATTTTATTTGCGGAAGTTTTCAAACTATTTTACTGAACATCAAATGGAGTATGAATTGCTGAAAAATAATACCAAATGACATACAAATAGTTCAACAAATATTGTTGAAATAAATATTCATGTAATTACCATTATTTTATTGTTGCTTTCATTTTTATCGTTGTTTCGGAAAATATTAAAATTTATATATTTGAAAACAAAATTACCATTATTATTTGGTTATAAATAACTCTTTTCGTACCCAAAAAGTCATCCTTAGAAAAAGTATCATTATCCCATACTTGCATGGTTAAGACACATGGCATTTTGAATTCAGTTTCATCAGATTCAAAAATTGATTCTTTTTTGTAAACAACCAGTTTGTTCTCTGCGGGTAAATATTGAAATGGAAACACAAATCTCCAATTGAAATTTCCTTCACCTGTGAGTGATCTATAATGAACATCAGTATATTGAGCTTCCATCATATCATTTAACCAGCTGAAACAGAGAAGAAAAAACATTGATCGGTTGAATCATTTGGAATGAATATTAAGAAATTTGTTTGAAACGTTACTGATAGTGAATATACTCCTAATAATAAAACAGACATAGAAATTTATAATTTGAGATTACAACACAATGTAGATATTTCCATTCTTACAAAATAGTACTTCCACTGAGGTTGGAGCGTCCTGAATGACTTGACAAAACAATGACTGCCTTGAAATGGTGGAATTGATATGGTTGTTTCACTAAGAATTTCATCAATGCGAAATCCACAGAATTATCATAAAATCTTGAACTATCAATTTATTGTAAAATTGAACTAATACAGAGTGTGTGAAAACTATGAGAGATACGATGATGGTTGAATTGAGGCAAAGTTGCGCATTTACCTGACTAACAATATGCCATTGAGAATGTTCTGAAATTCCGAGTATATCCGGAGATATCCGGAAAAAACAGAAATTTCGAAAAATGGTTTTTATTCTTTTCTGGCTTTATTTTTCGAAGGATTCGAAAATAAATAGCACTTCCACATTGCCACTTTTTCCTTGCTATATGATGATGTTTTCAAATTTGCAATTCGACGTTTCCTTTTCTGGTCACTATCATCAACTTTATTTTTTCTTACGAGGGCTACATTGAATTCTTTCTGTTTTGATTGAAACCAGATTCAATGATGTATCATAAGTTATTATTCTTTTTCGAAAAATTGGAGATATTAAAAAGAATCAATTCTTATCATAATAGGCTTTGACTTTGATGTTTCTACATTTGACTTCTAATTTGTTACACTCAATGACATTTTGTTATTGTACAAGTCATTGGATTTTTGGCGAAAAATGGCTTTCACGAATTAAGAAAAAAGAGATATGATACAATTTTATTACAAATACGATAGAACCAGTTTTATGACATCGGAAATGTATTCAAACTTTATCCCGAAAGACGACAACCACATCGAAATATGTTCAAGTTATTGGATACAAATTTATTACAAATACGATAGAACCATTGTTACGACATCGCAAATGTATTCAAACTTATATCCCGAAAGACGACAACCACATCGAACCATGTTCAACAAGTTATTGGATCAAAATCTCACCGAGTTTGGTTCGTTTGGAAAACCAATGAAAAATAGGGAGACAGAATCACCAATCAAAATTTAATAAATGAGGTGTGTATGAGGTAAATTAGACATTGTGTCCTTTTCAATAAAAATAGAATTTCACACAAATTACAATAATTAACTAAAATGTAAAGACAAAAGTAAATCATAGCAAATGCTCAAAATGATGGCCTTGTTCATGATAACACAGCAAGATTGATTTCCCTCCTCCTCAATCTTCCAAACTCTCTAACAATGCTGTGTTGAAGGTCCTCAATATTTTGATATTCCCTCTGACCATAAACTCTATTCTTCAATGTACCCCATAAGAATGTATTCATAACACTTAAGTCTGGATATCTTGCCGGCCACCTCACCGGACCACTATTTCCTATCCATTTATCACCAAACCTTTCAGTCAGGTAATTGGATACTTGTCTGGTAGTGTGCGGTGGAGTGTTGTTATAGTAAGCCAAAGGTAGATCATCCAAATAGTCTTCGAAAATCGACATTAAAAACTGGTGATCTGTTTCTCCATTCAGAATGGGACGAAATGAATATTTATCATACAAGTGCTTGGAGACATCTCAAAAAAAGCGGTTTAAAATGTAATAAAATACACATATCTCAAAAATTGCATCCAGGTGATCCCAAAAGGCGATTTGAATTTTGTAATTGTCTAATAAGATCTAATTTTCCTGTTTTCCTGGAAAATGTAAGTTGGACACATGAAAACACTTTCATGAATTGTGGGATATTCAACCAAAAAAACGAACACATTGGGAGCATTAACAACACCAGGCAGTTCCGAAAAATTCGACCTCATGTGCGATTTAGTATAAACGTGTTGCAGGAATTTACAAAGATAGAATTTTGGGTCTTGAATTCTGAATGGAGAAACCTATCACCAGTTTTTAATGCCAATTTTCGAAGACTATTTGGATGATCGATCTACCTTAGGCTAACTATTACAACATCTGGTTTCAACATGATAGTGCTCCACCGCATACTATCAGACGAGCATCTAATTACCTGGCTGAAAGGTTTGGTTATAAATGGAAAGGGAACAATGGGCCGGTGAGGTGGCCAACAAGGTCTCCGGACTTGAGTGTTATAGATACATTCTTATGGGGTACACTGGAAAATAGAATTCATTGTCAGAGAAAATATCAAAATATTGAGGACCTTCAACACAGCATTGTTAGAGAGTTTGGAAGATTGAGAAGGAGGGAAATTAATCGTGCAGTTAATAATATTCGAAGAAGGTCACAGTTGTGTTATCATGAACAAGGGCAGCATTTTGAGCATTTGTTTTGATTTACTTTTGTCTTTACATTTTACTTAATCATTGTTATTTGTTCAGAGTTCTATTTTCATTGAAAAGGACACAATATCTAATTTAAACCATACACACCTCATTTATCAACTTTTGATTGTTGATTCTGCCTCCGTATTTTTTCATTGGCTTTTCAAACTAACCAAATTCGGTGAGATTTTGATCCAATAACTTGAACATGGTTCGATGTGGTTGTCGTCTTTCGGGATACAAATTTGAATACATTTGCGATGTCGTAACAATGGTTCTATCGTATTTGTAATAAATTTGTATCATATCTTCTTTTTCTTCATTCGTGAAAGCCATTTTTCGCCAAAAATTCAATGACTTGTACAATAACAAAATGTCATTGAGTGTAACGACTTGAAAGTAATTTATAGACATCAAAGTCAAAGTTTATTATGATAAGAATTCATTTTTTTAATATCTCCAATTATTCGAAAAAGAATGATAACTTATGATACATAAAGCCAAAAAAAAAAAATAAAAACGATTTTCCGAAATTTCTGTTTTTACCGGATCTCCGGATATACTCGGAAATTCAGAACTTTTTCAACGGCATAATCAGGTAAATGCGCAACTTTGATCCAATTTAACCATCTTCGTATCTTGCATAGTTTCCGAGATTCCAATAGTGAGGATCGAATTTGAAACACCCTGTATACTCAATGAAATCAACATTTCTTCTGAAGAGAAATAACTCATTCATTTAGAGTATATTGAATATATTTACATACATTTTCAAGAAACTTGATAATAACATAAATTATTGGGTAGTCCTTTTTGAGGATAGAAATAGTCTCATTGAATATTAATGGATTAAGTTTCCACTGTGCATACAAGTGTGAAAAATTAATGGGAACTGAAATTGAGATGAATCAGTAAATGGGTTGAACAATAAGTGGAATGTCTATGGTATACAAACGATGAAAAATAAAAAATCAGGAGAAAAGACATCGGAAATAGCTGAGAAAAAAGATTTCAAAGCAAACTTCATCTCGACTGTTTGTAACCACAGTAGTCTCAGGACAGCAGAATTCCATATAAGAGAGTATTATACGCAAAAGTATCACATTTGAGCTTTGAAAGCTTTACAACAGTCTAGTTTGGAGTAGGTTTTTGAGAAGCTACCTTCAGTAATTCAAAAACTGTTCCGTAAAATCAGACCTGCAATACTTGTCTTGATGCTCGTTTCACCAACTAAGTTGGCTATAATTCTGGTGTTTGGAAACAGTGCTTGTCTGACTTGTTTCACAACCTTCATTTATCCAAAACGTGATAATAGGTAATCAATCACATAATCAATTCCGGTTCTACCACATTTTTCTTCTTAGAGAAAATTGATGCTTGTGTTTACCATAGTTGAATTTTTCCCTGAAAACATAAAATGACTTTAATATTCAAAGAATGAGAAAAATCAAAATCTTCAACTAGATGCATAATGAATAAAATCATTAGAAAAGCAGGGTGATTTAAGAAATTATGGAACTAGATTTTTGTATGAGTGGATTATGTATAATATGTTTTAATTTCATGTTGGCTCTCATACGCAAAATGGCACGAATGAACGAATACTCTTCAGTGAAAGTGCAGATATTGATAATAATCGATCAATGAAGTTTGTAGTGTGGTGTATTCCTCAATGTAAATTAAAATTACATTTGTATAAAATGATACGCCAACCTAAAATTATAAACTTATTCAAATGCTTTTTCATTTTCATCATTTCTTTCATATAATATTGTGTGATGACTATGGGGTAAATACAAAACATCGATACCACATCCTAGATGAGTGAAACCGCACACAGTTTGTAGCATTCACATAATTTTTATCGACAAACATGAAAAATGAGAAATAATACTTTTTATGTGTTTTTACCACTTTCATTTGTAACTAAAGTTATTGCAGTTTTGTCCTATTAGGACATAATATCCAAAATAACACGATAAACTAAAAATAATTCATAATGTTTAATACTCATTAATACAGTTTATTGTACACGTGTCGCGGTTTTTGTATCGGCTAGTTCTATTCAATAATTCATAATGTTAGCCCTTATATATCTAAACACCACTGTAGGTAATAACAGCGGTACTTAACTCAATTGAGTACCTGAATTTTGTTTACCTGTGACAATGTGGCTACGCTAATCTGAAAACCGGTGAGTAAACTAGTTCGATTATCCGCAATGCTTATGCTTATGAATTTCCAATGTGGCCGAATTTTCTCAAAACAGTATGCTGAACATGAAAGGTCATTCGAATTGGGAGAAAATGTTTCGACGTTTTCGAACCATGCATGCAACCAAAAGTTCCTGAATCTAAACGATACGGAAATTTTGCAATATGCAAGCAATTATTTGGAATTCTTGGAAATTCATAAGCATTGCGGATGTAACCTGCTGAATGAAAATGAAAAAACCGTTCAATCCAAGTGGACTAAAACTTGATGAACCAGTTCAACCAAAAGCTAAATATTCTTAAAATATTTTGATATATCAAACACATATTTTGCTCATTTTTAACGAGTTACATATAATCATTCTATGCTTTATGGTTAATTCCGTAGTTATATAACATTCATTCCAATGACTTCTAACGATGTCCCTTCTCTCGACAACAAATTATGTAAAATTTGTGAAAAATCCTTTGGAAAAACGAAAGGTCATTTGCAAAATTATAGATGAATGTTTACATACAAACTCTCCATGCTGGGAAAACTCGTTAACTTTTCCGTATACTTTGTTCTCCATCCCACATGTCTAGGATTCCCCTAGATCTTCTCTCACATCTCTTATAAAGGAAAACATCAAACTTGTTGATTCCAAAACCAACGTGATTCCATCTAAGATCGATAAAAGGAAATATAACCAAAACTTTTCCAATCTTGCTCTTTCTTTATCAATATCAAAGACGATTTTTATGCAGAAGGTGATTCACTTTGGAATGCCGCAACTAATATTACTCCTCCTACAGAAAAAAAGGACTAACAAAGTGCATGGGACCGACCTCTTCTGAACACTATAATTGATAAACTTCTGAAATCTACAAGTGTATACGATAAGACTCTTCTGAAAGCAGCAATGATCAAGGAATCGGGTGCTTGGCTGAATGCTTTACCTGTTGCATCTCTTGGAACACTATTAGACGATGAAACTTTCAGAATAGCAGTAGGATTTCGGATGGGTTTATCTATTTGTTGGCTTCATACTTGTGTTTGCGGTAGTATAGTTGATGAGAAAGATACACATGGTTTCAGTTGCAGAAGTGCAGGGCGTACATCTCGTCATCACCAGGTGAATGGCATATTGAAATGAGCTATGGTGTCAGCAGATTTTCCTGTAATTCTGGAACCATTAGGTACCAGTCGAGATGATGGTGAATGACCAGATGGTATGTCTCTCATATCATGGAAATACGGTAAACCTGTGGTATGGGACTTCACTTGCGTTGACACGGTCGCGACTTCCCATCTAGCCGAAAGTTCGAAGTCTGCTGGAACAGCATTGTCTGGCGAAAAATTGAAAAGAAAAAAACACCAAAATCTTGGTAACAACTATCTGTTCCATTCAGTAGCAGTTGAAACTTTTGGTGTTTATGACCCGGAGTCTCTGTTATTCGTTCATGAACTCTGAAGGAAAATAGGCCAAGCAACGAAAGTTCACCGTTCTACCGCTTTTTTCATATAAAGAATTAGTATTTCTATTCAACGTGGTAATGTTGCTTCGGTCCTTGAAACTATTCCTCCTTCATATAATTTTAATGAGATCATGCAATGCCCTCATTTCAGTACGGAACTAAAAACTCTTCGAAACAAGCTGAGATAGGTGGATATCCATCAGTCTCCTATCAAGGTGGATTCGCAAGTGATTGATTGACCTTCTTCTTTTGCGGTCAGTGGACTTCTTGCCCCCCAAATATGAGTTGCAGTCCTCCTGGTTTTGGTTCCCTTTCAGTGGAAGAGCTTCATAAAGGATCAATTGCAACTTGAGAAATGGTTCTTATGCAGACTCTGTGAAACATGTTATTTCTTACGAATCAGTAGAGAGTTGTCCTGAAAATCTTGAGAAGAAAATTGGATTATATAATTGAGGAAACACCTGTTACATGAATAGCATATTACAAGTGTTGTTCATGTCGAAGAATTTCAAGATCGAGGTTTTAACGATGAACGAGAACAAAAATCTTTCCTACTTATTCACCAAACTCAAAAACCTGTTCATGCAGCTGCAGTTTTGTAAGAATGTATCATCTTTTCCACCAATCGATTTCCTGGAGTCTTTGAAATCATAGTCGTTAGGACAACAAGAAGATTGTTCCGGAATCTTGTGGTTCTTGTTGAATTCTCTTCATGATCTTCAAACGTGACTCAACCTCTGACGGAAGCAACAAACTCTCACGAAGGTTCGAAATAGATGAACGCTTCAATCAAAATGGACGAGACTAAACGGACTGGTTTGAGTTTGACGATAATCGTGTCACAAAGTAAATCCTACCAAGTAGTAACGGCTACATCCATCAATTTAGACAAATATATTCCTTGAGACAACATAAGTAAGTGATCATATCAGAAATTCGGAAAGCCATTCATTTTTATTTTTTGAGGTTGAAATTCTTGAAATTTGAAGGAGGGACTTTTTAGAATTGTTGTGAATCATCTGATTACCGAAAAATTAACATTCTCTCAAAATATTTGAAATAATAGCAGTACATAACTTTCACGCAATTCGTTTCTTGTTTTGACATTTATAATTAATGAAGTGTCGTCACATATGCAATTTCAAATTCTAATATTGAATATAGAAAGGTATATTTTCTACAATTCAATTTCAATTTTGAACTCATTTCATTGTTATTATCGAATATTTTCAAGACACATTCATCGATAAAAATGCAAAAACAGGTTGATTTTCAAATCATGGGGGACATCTCAGATTTCGAATGGAAAATTTTCTACGTATAATACATGATACCAAAGATGATTTTATAAGGAATTATCATCTATCACGTAAATTTCCAAGGTTTATGTGCAACTTTACATAGAACATAATATAGTGTCATTAATTGTTGTTGATGACCTTTCATGTTTTATCACATTCAATAACAATATCAAGAAAATCCAATTAGGAATTTAGAATTTTGGAATGATTTAAGATACATCATGAGTCCGGTCTTGTCAAAACTATAATAAGTTATTTTTTCTGTTAGCGAGCATATTGTGTTTCGATGTCTCAAGTGTGTTACTGCCTTCTATAATGTAATCTGTCGTGATAAAGGGCTTGCAGTTTACACTCTCCTTGTTGTTTGGAGGTGATGATAATATTCACTATTTCAGCAATTACGTGCAAGATAAATGATATTATTTTTCTGATTGTAGTATAATCTGAACGATCAACTGCAGAAACTGTCAATGAGACCAATCAACTTGAGGAATAAATGAAACATCTAGCGTGAAATGAATCTGATGTAAACACTTTGCCCACACCAGAAATGATTCATCAATATATGACTGAAACTGTTTTATTCATCACACTATATTAACCGACAAATCCGCGTTAAAGTCGGTGACGCCTCATCCACCCCCTTTTCCCCCAAATCCGGTGTTCCCCAGAGCTCAGTGCTCTCTCCTTCCTTATTTCTAATTTACGCTCACGACGTCCACACTACTCCAGTATGCCGATGACACTATCCTCTACTCTTTCGCCGCCAACACCCGCAGCTTGCAAATTGAATCATAAAACATGATCGACCACTTCGAGCAGTGGTGCAACAAGTGGCGTATCAAAATTAATCCCACCAAAACCCAAACCATCCTATTCCGACATCCTCACACCACTACCCGCCCTAAACTGATTCCCGATAACTTGAACCTCAGACTCTTTGAAAGAAAACCTCATTCTCCAGGATTCGATGTCCTACTTGGAGGGTCACTTTCACAAGGACCCTCAACTGGGAGGTCGACCTGAGAGAATTTCTGGACAGAGTCCGGAAGAGAGCGAAACTGCTAAAAGCACTAAGAGGCAAGCTCGGGAGGTGCGACAGTAAAACTGTCCTACATACTTATAAATCTTTCATCAGACCAGTCCTAGACTGAAAAGCGATGATATACCGTGCGCTTCCCCCAAGACTATCCCACCGTATCCTAACTGCCGAGAGAAGAATCCTACGCAACATCCACAACCTTCCTTACCGTTACCCATCTCAAAACTTATATAACCTAATAAACACTACACCAATCAATCTGCGATTTCAGGAACTTCAAGGACGATACGCGACTAGAACGATAAGCAGTAGTAACACCGATGCCAATCAACTCGCTGACTACACCGTGGACTCCTCGTGGAGGACCCAGAAGGATTCCTACGAAGAAGTTCCCGTTTCCCCCAGCAAGACTCCTGGGAACAATGGAAGATCCGCCGGAGCAGATCCAGGATATCCTAGAGGAATACTTACTTGAAATCAGATAGCGGATAGCTACGTCCTGGAAGGAGCTGAAATCTGAAGCCATTACCCCCGGCCTTACAACCCGTACCAAAAAAATTCCAATGACCACTGCAACTGAGCCGGACCACTCTAACGGAGCAACAGAAAGGCAAAAAACAAAAAGAACACATGACAACTGAAACAACACTACACTAGACATCATCACACAAGACACCACACGTACAACCCACTAACTCTGAAGAGGCATAAGCCCCACACAAAACACATTTACAGTAAGACTTTAGGTGATTCAGCTCTGGACTCAATAATTCCGTACAGCCCATCTCATCTTGTGTTTGTAAATCTTTTGCTGAAGAAATCCTCACTTGTTTACTTTGTAGTAAATGTTCAAGAAGTAGCGAAAACTTATGTGGATTTCTGTAACTTCATCTAGCTTTTCCTAATATGACTAATAACCAGTCTGTGCAAAGCTTATTGTTAAATCATCTGAAAATGAAATTTTTAACAGGTGATGATCGACTGTATTGCCAAACATGCGCCAAACTAACTAACTGTTATAAGGAAACAAATATATCTGAGGCACCAGTCAATCTAATAATAACACTGATGATTTTCAAACAAGACTCAACCTCTAACGGAAGCAAGAAACTCTTTGGAAGGTTCGAAATAGATGAACATTTCATCCTAGCAGACCACTATTATAATATTCATGCAGTCATTGTTCACTGTGGTTCTGGCGTTGAATTTGGTCATTATTACGCTTTGGTCAAAGACGAAACGGACTGGTTTAAGTTTGACAATAGTCGTGTCACGAAGTCTTCTGGCGATGCATTGAATTTATTGGAGCCTCTGGAGACACCCTACATTTTGTTTTATAAGAGAGAGGACATTGTTAAATCAAGATCTTCAGATGATGTGGTGCTGCAGGTTTTTCCGGGTTTTCCTGCAGCTGAAAAAGCAAATGCGCCACTGGAATCAATGAAGTCGCCCCGGAGCGCCAATTAATTTTTATTGTTGTTTTTATATTATTTTTATCGTTGTTTTTATGAAATATTTTCCTGATTAGGGTAATGGACAAAAACATGAAAAGGAGCCAGATCGATTGATCCACTATCATTTTCGATAAGATTATTTTGTATCACATTATCCACAGCCCAATGCTTGTTTTGCCTCTTCTTATTGACATCCGGCCATTTCGAATAGTTGATATGAGAGAATATAGTAAGTTATGAACACAATCAAGTACATTACAAGTTTCGAAGTGAGAAATAATACCTGTTCAATACCCGGCTTCGATGGATTGTATAGGGACCTCGTTTCTACGTGTTCTGGTACCAGTGTGAAACCAATGATGGGCATTTCTCTCCAACGTCGCAAGGCGATTAGGGCTAATACTTCTTTATCGTACTCCGGATCATTGCTAACTGAAACAAGAGAGAATTTCCAGTGCTCACTGAATTGAACTTCTTTTCTTTTTTTTTTCGGTGGAGAGCCGCCGATCCCGGATCGGTTTGTCGAGAAGCGGATCATTCTTATCTCCGAAAACAGATTCGTAGCTTCTTCAACAACTAAGAATAACAGACCAATAACATGCTTAAATTTAAGTTGAGAAATGTTCACGAGCATCTTATACACAGTATTATCCACCAAGCTTGATCGAATATTCGAACGGATATATCAGCAAAGACTAAGGCTGCACCTATATTGAATCCGTATTTTTCCCGATCCAATGTAATCCGACCATCGGAAGAAAAACAAACACTTAAGTTTCAAAGGCTGCACCTATATTGAATTCGTATTTCTCCCGACATGATGTGGGACGATCATCGGACGCCGCGCGATCCGATGCAGTCCGTTGTAACTGCCTACACTGGACTCAGTTCGACCCGATAGTTTGAAGCTGAAGATGTGTTTTGGGGGTAATTATGAGTGACTCTGAAGATGATTTTTTGTGGTGGTTTATACAAGACAAGAATGTTCTCCTTAATAGGAGACATAAGAAAAAGGTATGGGTACATCAGTTTATTAAAGATAAATCTGAAGGGGAATTTTTCAAAACTTTCCTACTTATAAGAAACTACCCGAATGAATTTAAGGACTACCATCGTATGACTATGGAAACGTCTTCTTGAAGGCATAAAATACGACATAACTTGCCAGTCTAACTTCAGCCCTTTTACCAGTAATTGGTCTCCAATAACCTCCCGTAGTTTAGGCTTAATATCACTATTATGGTAATCCTTGTTTCGCTAGTACCACAAGCGAGGCTCATCTCTCACAAGAATTATCAAAATCTCCATCAATTTTATTATTCATTATTACCACTCCATCGGAATGAAAGATTACTACTCGTCGTCAGTAATCGGTAGTGATCGTTTATTGTGGTATCGGACTACCCTTTCCAATGAAGGCACCTACTAAGTGTTTGTTTTTATTCCGATGTCGTCCGATGGTCGTCCCACATCGGATTCAATATAGGTGCAGCCTTTAAAACGTAAGTGTTTGTTTTTCTTCCGATGTCGTCCGATGGTCGGACTTCATCGGGTCGGGAGAAATACGGATTCAATATAGGTGCAGCCTAACGGAGAGATGAGTTGCAGAATGTGAAGAGAACCTGCTCATCGATAGATGTGCAACGCAGGGCTCGATACAGTACAAGCGTAACCTTCCTATAGCTTGGAATGATTACCGCTAGGAATTTGATATAGATACCTTGCGGTACCCGACTGAATGCGGACTCGTTTCAACATAACATCTGATTAGGCTAAAGTCCAAACAGTCGCTTTCGCGCTTTCAGAAGGGGGTATTTCGTGGCAACCTCCTCATTACTATTCTTTTCTTCATGTCACCATTGCTTGTGATGGAACAACATCACTCACAAGAAGTGATAGCGGTTAGTATCAATACTAACTCCGACAGATTTGGTCATTGAAACTACCGATTAAGAAAAAGTAGTTGCTGAAAATAAGCTGGTCGTTCCGTTCCTACTCGTTCGACATAAAATAATGAACCTACATATGAACCTAGATATGAGTTTGCATTCTAAATCGTCTGTTATACGATTGTTCTCCTCACGACAACAGGTAGGCTTTAGTCTTTCGAGTTTGTAGTGTCGACATGACAGAATGATACCAGATGGTGCCTGTGAAGTGTTCTGGAGTTCAGATCCCATTGTTCGCGAACATAGAAAAGCAGAATGTAGTTTAAATAGTAGTAGAATGAAGTTGTTCTGATCATTGAGGTCCTTGGTGGAATGATGGCCTTTCTATTCTCGAAACTCAAGAGCATGCCGGTTTGCCGCATTAAGATAGGAATCTCGGCCGGAGAAATGCAGGAGGCTATCATTTTCGGCTAATTGCACCTGCTTGAGTCCGATGGTGAGGCCCAATTCAATGAATTGTCAACTTACAATGACAGCACCGTACGCTTTGAGTGGACGCATGAATTGAAGGATAGCCTCATGCGTTTCTACGAAAATAGTATGCCCGTGTGAAGAGGATACATGGCGAAAATACAGCTAACGAAGTGGTAGTTCCACCATCCATTGGCATGACTGGAGAGGTGACTCGCATTATCCCACCAGTGGAGTCAAATGGCACATGTAGGACGCTCTACCAAATGAGGCCACTGAAGATACAATAATTGGCTGGTATCGATGTAGAAGTTTGTTCTTGCACGAACGCTGGTATCTGGAAAGTTGTATACTGCCACTGAATCGATTTGAAAAGACGAAACCCTGGCTTCGTGATTCAGAAAAGGGAACGCCGGGTACACAAGATACAGACCAAAATCAAGTTGAGAAGATATCAAGCGTCTCGATTCTAATGTGTGATGGACTGCAAGTTGGCCAATAGGTATTTAAACCCCCTGTACGGTGAATAGCTACCAAATGACAATATCTACATTACACTTCGAGTCATTGCGTATTGCTGATGACAAAATAGCATAGCCTTGATATGATATAAATACTAGTGACTGCAAAGAAGTAACTAGTGGAGCAAGCGTGAAGTATTGTGGAAAACCTGAAGTTTCGAGAAAACATTTCTCGTTCATTCCGAAAGCTTCCTCATATTGAAAATAATCATCTGATCAGACGGAATCCATCTGGAACGATATTTATAAATATCTACAGCCACTCAACTTTGACTCTCTTCCTTCTCTTTGAATTCTGCAGACTATATCCATAACCCTGAGTTGGAACGGTTGCTCTGATTGTTGAAGTCTGTTGGAGCAGAAGACTGTTATTCTTGATTCATTGCATCGCTTAAGATACACGATTTGCGGATTCCACTATCAGTCACCCCAGTGTGGAAACTGGTTATTGGTTTATAATACCGGTGCGCTTAAATAAATGATTTACACTAAATAAGTACTAAATCAAGTACCACGTAATATCGTGGAGGACATCATCTTCAAATGCCTGCTTTCCACAATCAATCTCAAATAATCGACAACAACAATAATTTTTATTTCTTTTTGTGTAGTGAAAAATTATGAAATTTATTAGAAAAATAATTATTAAGAACGCATGCATTGTAAGAAAAACATGGTTTGAAAATAGAGTCCTTTGAAATGATCAAAATTATTTTATTGCCCGTATTGAGAAAGATTGATATCTTTGATGTGGAAATTGGTTATTAGTTTATAATACCGGTGCGGTTAAATAAATGATTTACCCTAAATAAGTACTTAATCAAGTACCACGTAATATCGTGGAAGACGTCATCTTCAAATGCCTGCTTTTCACAATCAATCTCAAATAATCGACAACAACAGTAATTTTTGTTTTCTTCTTGTGTAGTGAAAAATTATGAAATTTATTAGGAGAAGAATTGTCAAGAACGCATGCATTGTAAGAAAAACATGGTTTGAAAATAGAGATGGAGTCCTTTGAAATAATCAAAATTATTTTATTGCCCGTATTGAGAAAGATTGATATCTTTGAAATCAAAAAATCTCTCGAACAAATAAATAGGAAATCCTGACGAAATTATTTCATGTGTTAAGAGTTGTGAGTTTTATTACCTGCACAGCTTCTTAAAGATGACAGAGTATTCGGTTTGACCGCAGAAGTATGGGATATTCAAATAAAATATGTTACAGAAGTTCATGAAAGTGCATATTCATATTTATACTTCGCTGGATTATGAATTTGATAAGAATAATTGATTTATAAAGAGTCCTAATTGGTAGCCAGCAGGTACAAAGCAGGTAAAAATTATTGTTACTAGTAATTTGACTGATTCTAGGAAATTTTTCATTAGAATTCATTTGAGAGTGGTGAGAGATTAACTTCTTGTTGGTCGTACAATAGGTATTTTGATGTGGAAGGAAATTTGATAATTTACGTTCATTCATTTCCAGGAATTGTAACAGGTTTCATGTTTATGTTCTGTATGTAGTATGTCGTCGTTTTTGTCAAAGTTGTGGTTGTTTTCTAACAGATGACCTGCATAGGTTGAATTATTTGAATTCAAAACTTTTTTTGTGTTCCGAAATTCTGGTTTTGAAATTTCTAGGTGTTTTTCCAATATGCCTTATATCTTTTGGGCACGAGTCATATTTCAGATTGTGGACACCCGACATGTCAATGTTGGATATGTCTACCTGAGATGTCATCAGTCTTGTATGCTAGGTTGATTTTCTGTTTATTTGCTAGTTCAGTTTGAAAATTTTTCTGATGTTTTTTCTGTATATGCCAGTATTCTGATGTGAGGGTATACTTATATATACCAATAGTATTATTGATTTTTCACCAAGTAATAGTGTATACAAAAAATTATTTTGAATAATATATTATATTACCTGTCTTGATCTGCGAATCTGTTGAGAGAAACATTCAGAATGAGTAATATTTCCATACTGGAGCAATACGAGAAAATTATCTTTCAAGTTTTGTGGATGATCAATTGGTCAATTTTTAGATTCTGCTAAGGGCAGAGCTTATGGTTATGATTAAGAAATTGTTCAATCATTCACTTGATAAAACAAAAATTCTTGAAAATTGTTCATCAATCTCGACACTCTTTTCTTCTAGAATAACTTATTCTTTTACTCAATACACAAACCTCGTGGTATAAACGTTGACTACGAAGCAATGCAGCCACTGAAGATGTGTGTCGCAATAGCAGGAGAAACGTTTGCTACCATAAGTTCTATTCGACTACGGCCTACCAGTCCGGATTTTCTCTCTGACTCAGAATTATTAATGGACATGATTGGAGGATTCTCATTACCGGAATATCATCTTAAGTTATATGCTGCTGGAGCTACAAAAAGAACTAGAGCAAAATGATTTTTTTATATTATTGCTTGGAGTTTCTGATAAAACTATGGATGAAGTAAGCCGTGAAGCTTCATTGGTGAAACGGCTACCGCCAGAAAACAATGAAAACGTAATTCAATGTTCATGTTAGAGTAGTTGTTTCGGAAAGGCTCTTCTCCAGTTTGTTTCTGAAAGTAACTTCCATGCACGATCTACATATCTTTATAGAGAGTTTATTTTGCTTTCAATTGCTTTTTCCCTTCTTTTGGAAGTTTTCCATAATTCTATGTGGAAAAACTATACCCCCTTCAATTCAGTGAGGCATAGGTATACTGAAAGGTTGTAATTTTTCCAAGAGTTTACTATTCGTTCTCGAACTTTACTTACGGGAGAAATTTTCAGAAGTGAATTCCTTGAAACCGATTCGAACCCCTGTTGAACTATACTCCGGTGGGTCGGTATTCCATTTTCTACACAGATCAGACAGTATTGTTGTTGGTTTATTGTATTCTCTCCAGGTGCAATATCCAGATCTGAAATTGTAGTGTTTCATAATATTTAAAATTTTCTGGGAAAACATTAATTTAAGCCACTATATAACATTGTAAGAATATTTATCACATCGATCAATGTAGATCATTGCGAATATGGATTCAAATGTTGAAAAATCAGGTTTTCAAGTTGATAATTTCAAAAATATTCTAAAATAAAATTGTGAAAACTCCCTCACTATAATTATGTTTTTGCTTCCTAGTGAGGTGAAGAGAGAGAGTATGTCATTCAAATTATTTGCTTTATTATTCATATCGAGGATACAACAATTCTTCCAAATTTGAATTTCCTAAAATAAATATACATTTTTCCCACGAGGGTCATCGTCTATATGTTGAATGGTTGAGGAACTCTTAAGAATCCAACTCATGGATCAGAAAGTTAATTGGTGTTGTTCATTTTTCAATTTGATGTGATTTCATTAATCGATTACAGAAGTCTATAGCTTTCTATTATTTTTCACTGGAATGATAGATTCATAGTCTCAGAGATGATATAATATTCTGATAGAGTGCATTCCATTTAAAATGAGCCACCCTGAATAACTTTTGGAACAATGATTTTCAGTGAAAATAAAAAAACACCTCAACGAACAGGGGGACACATTTGGACATATTCACATTTGTTCTAACTTTACCTATCGCACCCCCAGAGCATGTTACCATTTTTTTTTTAAATGGATCAATTGTTTTGCAGCAGATGTTTCATGATGAACATATTTCAACAAAGTAGAATACATTATGTTCTTAAGCTCATAGTTTAGAAGCTAACAATTATTTGAGTTGAAAACGAGCCACCCTTAATGAACTTCTGTACAATCTAGTACCTAGGTATCATAGGTGTTTTTGTGAAGTATACTTCAAAAAAGTCTTATTTTGCCTAGTTAAGTCTCATTCTACAATAACAATTACCTACCAGGTGAAGTTACAATTTGTTTTTCTGTTTTTGTGAATTCTTGAGATGCAATGGTTTATACTCTTCGAGAACGGATTGAAATAGTAAGTTTGTACTACCAGAATGGAAATAGTGCTAGAGCTGTTGCCCGTTTGATCAATGCTAATCATCCAGGAATGAATGTACGACACAAATACGTTTCGGAATTATTGAACAAATTTATGGAAACTGGATCTGTTAACAATAAAAAGCCTAACCGTTCAGGAGTTGTCAACGATGAAGCTATATGTACTGCTATATGTTTTCAGGATCCTTCATAAGTACAAATTTCATCCATATGAAATTAGAAAAGAAAGTTTTTGGCTTTCTACTACTCCATCTTGATACAAAAAAAAGAAGGATGAGGGAGTCTTCCAAAGAAAGGAAGGAAGTTACTCTATACATGGATGTGTAGATCATGCAAAGAAGTAACTTTCAGACACAAACTGAAAGAAAGTCCTCCTGAAACAGCTACTTTCATATAAACATTGAATTATACGAAACACAAAATTCTTTCGAAACAAATATTTCCATAAGAACACTGAATTATACATGATCTACACATCCATGTATAGAGTTACTTCCTTCCTTTCTTTGGAAGACTCCCTCAACCTTCTTTTATTTGTATCAGGATGGAGTAGTAGAAAGTCAAAAACTTTCTTTCCCAAAAATTAATCACCCCTAAAAAATATGACCCCTTCAATTCATAAAATTAGATTAGTTCATGAATTGAACGAAGATGATTTCGATAGATGTGTCGAGTTATGTGAAAGTATCAATGAACGGATCAACTTGCATCAGAATTTCTTGTATAAAATTTGTTTTTCTGATGAATGTATGATTAGTTTGAATGGAGAAGTGAATCGGCAAAATTGTCGATATTGGAGTGATACGAATCCTCATCTATACTGCTATGTTTATACCCAACGACCTCAAGAACTGAATGTTTGGGCAGGAATTTTAGGTGACCACATCATAGGACCTTTTTTTATCAATGATAAGTTGACTACTAATAAATATTTGAATGTATTGGAGAATCAAATAATACCGTGCATCAATAAGGCAATTGAGAAATTTATTCGAAAACGAAATAGTTTTTCAGCAGAATGGTGCATCTCCTCATTATGCTGCTCCAGTGCGACAATTTTTGGATGATCATTTTCCTGGTCACTGGATTGACAGAATAGGTCCTACAGAATGGCCACCAAGGTCTCCGGATCTCACTGATCAGAGAAATAACTCCCGAGATTTTCAACCATGTGAGGGCGGCAATGGAAGCTCGTTTGTACCATTGTATGGAAGTTGGTGGAAACGTTTTTGAACATTTACTATAGAAAATTTTTTTCTTCTCATTGTTCAGTCATCAGATTTTGATTCAAGAATTGATAAAATTTCTTTTTCTGATTTATTGCTTCCATATTTGTCTCTAGAACGAATATTTCAAAATGTAGCCTCCTGTATAATTGTTGACCTGTTTTTTTTATTTTTCCTGCAAATCATTGTTTAATAAGTTATTCAGGGTGGCTCGTTTTCAACTCAAATAATTTGTAGCTCCCGAACCATAAGCTTCAGACCATATGTTTTATACTTTGTTGAAATCTGCTCATCATGGAGCATCTGATAAAGCGAAACAATATAAGGTTATCGGTTTAAAAAAAATTATTGGTGATATGCTCTGGGGGTGCGATAGGGGACGTAACATTAAATGTGAATATGTCAAAATGTGTCCCCTTCTATACTATTGTTCACGTGTTTTTTTATTTTTACTGAAAATCATTATACCAAAAGTTATTCAAGGTGGCTCGTTTCAAATGGAAATCACTGTATTATATTCAATTGACTTGGATTATATTCAAAGAATGATCCTGGTGTACCCATTGCAATAAATATGGGTACTATGGTATTATTCGAAAAAAAAATCATGAAAATTCACTGTGAAATCTTTCGTCAGTTTTGTATTACTATTTGTCTTCAATTTCAGTCTCGAAGATTACCTCTTCAGCGAAGATGAATTTCTTTCCAGCGTTCTCTTGAGATCTGGGCACAAGAAAAAGTCGATAAATACGGAAGCAATTCGAAGTCCAGTTCCTACAATTTTGCCATTGTTTTCATTGATTCGTGACGCAATGCATCGTCTTGATGAAACAGCATTTTATTTTTTCCAAAGGGGACCGTAATTTCGCAATTTCGTCCTTCAAATGCTCCAATAATGCTATGTAATAGTTTCTGTTGATGATTTTCCCCTTTCAAGATAGTCGATGGATATTATACCATGCGCATCCCAAAATACTGATACCATAACATTGCCAGCGGAGTGTTGCATCTTTGCATGCTTCGTAATCGGTTCGCCACAAGCAGTCCATTCAGATAACGATGGTTTTAATTTTGTTGTGTAATGATGAAACCATGTTTCATCCATTGTCACATATGGATGCATGAATTGGTGTTTTTTCATGGTACTGCACTGCTCAGAATAATCAAATCGTTATTGTTTTTGGTCGATTATGAGCTCGCACGGTACCCTCTTTGAACAGAGCTGTCGCACATCAAAATATTTCTTTAAGGACAAAGCACTACAAAAAAATCCTTGAGGTGCTTTAAGAGCGATGCCTGTGCGAAAATAGTCACCCCTCCTAACTTTTGAACGAAGTGAAATATCAGAGTCGGAAAAAAAAAGTGAAAAGGAATCATTGTTGTACTTTTAAAAATGCCAATAGTGTGACATCACTTGCCACCGAGAGAGCTCTTTCACCTTTTTCTTTGAATGGAAAGGAGATTTTGTTACATTTCGTATTTCGATTCTCTATACAATGATCTTGCCTTTTTTAAGTTTCGATAACCGGTTGTGAAGTTATTGATGTTATAATGTGGAACAAGGAATTTCGTAATCCTACGCCCTATGTAAGATTTTTTCAAATGAATATTCATTGTGTAGACAATGTCTGCGTATAGTTGAGTGTTGTTTTTAATGGCATAATACGATGAAATTCCATTATAACCTCTTATACATAAAAAAATAATCTGAGCAATGTTCTCCTTGAACACCCTGACATGAAACAATCAATTTTCTAACTTATTTCTAATACTTTGGCATGTTTCCGAAGTGATTCCTTCATAAGTTTTCGTAATTCTGTCTCTTAGTTAAGGTATTACCCCAAAGGAAAAAATTGGGAGTCAAGTTCGGTTAACAAGCAGGCCATTTCGAGGAATCGCGCCTACCAATCCATATGTCTGATTCAACCAACAGTCCGAAAAAATGTGGAGGTGCACCATCTTAAAGAGAAACCATCTTAAAGAAAAACCATCATCAACACGTAAAACTGCATTCTTCTGTGAGGGTAATCTTCATTCAATTCATGTAATATTTTCAGTTCAAAGGAGTAGGGGTATTTCTGAGGAGTATTTCTTGACCATGGTTGTTGAGACGTTATTCTCACTAGTGGACTGCAGGTGGTTGATACGCAACGATTTCTGTCGTTTTGCTTCCGATTTAGATTTTCTTCCATCTCCTCTAGCTCCAGCTGCACTTCCTGTTGTTGAAATTTTTCAACCAATTGCCTATATATTTGGCAGTACGAATTATCAGAAAAGCTTGCATTGAACACCCTTCACGTCCAGTTCACGGACGGAGTAGAAGAAATAGAGACACAGGTGGAATCGTCGGTCCGTAGACAAAGAAGGGACAATGCGCAACCCCTTGCACCAACATCTCCCGAGAAAGTGAAATATATCGTTAGACGTCTAGCAACTGGGAAAGCCCCAGGCCCGGGCCAAATAACAAACTGGGCAGTGAAAGTCATATCACGTAAGGGCAGCTATAACAAACATCATTAATGATATATTTGGACTGCATCACTTCCCATACCCGTTTAAGGAGGCGACGGTCATTCATATCCCGAAGCCAAAGAAGAACCACCTATTCCCGGATAATCACAGGCTAATCAGCTCAACCCCTTCCTTAAGCAAAGTTTCTGCCACTGGAAAGTCACCCTGAAAAGATTAGAAGACCAAACCTGCGAAATAGGAATCCTACCAGATAAACCTGTGGAAGATCAGTATAAACTCTGACAAGAGTCAGGTGATACTGTTCACCCGGAGGCGGGCACACCCGAAAGGAAGCACCACCTTCAACGGACAAAAGATTCCGTGGACCAACGAACCCAGATACCTGGGAGTCACCCTTGACAAAAGATTAACATTCAGGCCTCACGTACGGCAGAAAATAGGAATGGCGAGATCTGCTCGACAAATTATATCACCAATAATAGGTCAGAAAAGCAACATGTGATTGAAAGTTACGCTGCTGATGATAAAGACCGTACTAATAGCAATATGCCTGCACTGCCTGGGGCCAGTGCGCAGCGACATACAGAAGACAGATCCAGTCGTTATGAACGCGTGCGTAAGTGCCGCCATAAACGCTCCAAGATATGTTTCGAATAGGTATATATTCCGAGATCTAGACCTGAACATACCCTACGTAGATGCATATATGAGACAAAACGAAGAAGACGCGTTTGACATAATTCGAGCGCACGACAATCCAGCGCTACGCGACCTATACAACGCATTAAACAGGGATGACCCCAGATTCCGAGAGACATAAACATGGAAAGCCCACCAAGCAGAACCAATGACCACCTCCGAGAGTCGCTGTCAGGCGGCTCCGGTGAGTGAACTTTTTTTTACAGAAAACAAATATTTTCTTTTCAGGTTCAACGAAAAACACTCGACCGCGATCTCTTTTTTAAAACAATATTCTCCGGTTTTTAGGGGCCCCATGCAAAAATTCAGTTAGGAAAGCTAAGATAAAACATTACATTCGATTAGAAAGTAAAACCACCTAGAGGCTGACTTTCGACCAAAAAAGGTCAGATGTCAATCTTGCTGAAGTGACCATCAGTAAGTTGAGGTCCGCTCCAGAGGAGCGAGGATGCCTGGACGAGATGAGATGTTCTGCACACAGTAACCGTGTGGAGAAGATTTCAACTCAGGGCACTCAACCCGGGAGGAGGCATGGTGGATTTAAAATTCACTGTTGAATTTGTTTAGTGAAGAAAACCTACTAACTGAAATTAATAATAACGTTATGGAAAATCGAGGAAAGAGAATAATGCAAATGACAAGAAATGGTGACTTGTTTTTTAATACAAATAATAGCTCCTCAATAAGTCATTTTGACAAATGACAAACATGAATATTTCCAGATCCATCAATCATTGTATTCAAGTATGATGTTACAAATGACACTATTTTGACATTGAAGATTCAAGAAGACCCTAATAAAAGAAGGAGGACACGAAAAATATTTGGAGATGTACGTTACTTACAAATTATACCTCAGTATGATAATATCCCATCAATTTCAAATGGTAAAAAAAAGACCTACTTCATTTACTACGCAAGAAAGTAATCCCTGAGGACATAGAAACTTTTTAGAGGCATTACCTACAAGTGCAGTGGCTAGACATATTATACCAGGTGAATCTGATTACTAAACTGATTTATTTTTTGTAATTTGTTTGAACTTATTTTTTATGCAATTGAGTTGATATTTCAGTTATATCACTAGAACCACTTTTAATTTTGAAATTATTTATTCAATGGCATAACATTTCATTGAGGATAATAAGAATAAGTACACTCAATATATGATATTGTATGTCCGTAACCTAAGTTACAATTACTGTATGTCCAAGTGATCGGTTACCGTTATTTAGTTAAATACTTTTGATGCACTGTTTGGAATCTTTGGTGTAGTAATAAATATTACTGGAGTTTTATCCCAACACCAAACGGTTATTTTTAACATTTCGACGTCTCTCATAAAGCCTGAGGAAGAGCCTTAACAATAACACTTTCTCAAGGTCATATGAACGTTAATGAAAGTTGAATGTGGTCCACAAAGATACAAGAAAGTCAAAGAAACGAAATCCATATTATCTATGATGTAACTCAAAATCATGAAATGAAATTCTATAAATTTCATATACACACCGCTCCAGGTATTCACAAGGTTAGCTTTCAAAGTCATTTCGGAAACTTGAATGAATAGAGAGGAATAATGTTAATACAATTTCATAAATTTCAAGGCAAAAGTCGAAGCACACTGATCCTGACCAATAAGAATTGTTGGTTGGGCATCATGGCCCATGGGTAGATTTTATTCAGGTGAGGAAGTGAGGGTCTATTCACAGTTCGAACTTCATTCTTTTTGTATGTTTTTGAGTTTTCTTCCATTGAAGATAACTCTACTGCCATTTTTTTGGAATATTTGATTCTTTTATTTATTTATCTTCAGATCATTGAGAGTCTGGTTGAAGTTATCAGCAGTCATCGTAATAAAATTATTTGTCGGTATAATTTTGGTGTTATTTTCTGTTTCTTCGATTTAACACTAAGCAACTTTTTCTTGTAATGTCATTTCTTTCAAATCAATGATGTTTTTGCTACTAGAAATTGTGAACTTTTTGGATAGGAAATCTTAAATCTAGTCACGTTGCAGTTGTACTTCTTTCCTTATCTGTTCAGCATCATTTTCGGCTCCCTTTCTCTCTACTTCGGCTAATTTTTTTGTTTCTTTCAATAGTATTTTTGACAATCGTTATCTAGAACTTGCAGATTCTGCAATTTTTTATTCGTCTTTGGCATTAGATTGATCTGCTAATGGAAAAAGTTTTTGCAACTCCGGAACTTGTCGTGTGTCACAACATACATCGCTATATCTTTCAGGAGGAATTCCTTCAGATTTGACATGGACATATTGGCAATTAGATACTTCTTGTTTTTTTTAATTATTCATTTTTTTACTCCATAGCTTCCTGTATTTACTGTGAAAAATAAGATAAAATTCATTTGTTTGATTCTCTACAAATTCTCAAAGAAAATTTTGTTCGAAAGACCAATGTTTGAACTAGTCAGTCCTACTGTGAAGTCCTCTGAGTTGAAGGCAAATACACCAGTAATCAAACGTTTCGAGTCAATATTCATATTTTATGACTTTTTAAATTATTGTCAATGTCAAAATCGTTTTTTTTTCATAAACATGCCATGAAAAATTATTTAAACATACCAAATGAACAAAATCAACTAATGACAACAGATTGAATAAAATTGAAAACAACATCATATAAAACGAAAGTGTTTGACATACGACATTTCTTTTATTCGTTCAAAATAAAGAACGACCATCATGCTTCTTTGAATAGATTCCCAAATACTTTAGCATTCATCAAATTTATGTATTCATTATGCTGGTATAAAATCGAATAAATTTGAGAAATACGACAAACAAAAATTTCAAATGAATTTGAAAAAATATTTGTCGTCATATTTTTTTCTTCTATTTTCTAATCATTTACTGGTGTAAGCTTTGAACTCATCATTCAGTTCATTGTAACTGTTTAAGTTATTACTAATTATTTTATTACTGTATATATGTTATCTTCCGTTTGTGTTATTACTAACTTGTTAATTTGACTCCCATAAACACCTATAATTTTTGGTAAATGAACGATTGAATACGAGTATATGGTATACTCACCCTTCGTATTTTTCTGCAATACCACAATGTGCTCTATGTTTGGTGTAATATCGAGATTCCAAATCGATTCTAGTTTCGCCTATTAAATCGTCTAATGAACTTATATCCCGATCCCAAACAGCAATTTTTAAACTATGATCTTGTGGAAAGATCGCATCGAATTCGAAACATCTACAAAAAAGAAATTGTAATATTACTTAGTAGTATAAATGCAGTCTTTGAGAGAGTGATTCACAAAACTATCTGGAATTGTATTGGAACATCGACTTCCTACAAACGGGTCTGACTCAACCTCCTGCTTATTTATGTTTATCATTCTCAGAAATATTCCTCTTGAAGATGATCACTTGGTGATCGAAACATGTTGAGAAAGAACTCCAGTAATATTCATTCTTAGAAACATTGAATGTTAACCTAACTATATTTGTCCAACAAAATACTAAGGTGTTAAGGATTACCAAAAATTCACAAAACTCGCTCTCAAACTCAAACCACCATTTCCTCTATTAATACTCCAAATAGTAAAATTTCAGAGATGACTCGTATATACAAATTGAGAAATTATTATTACATCGAAGATTATTTCCTATTCGCTTCATTCATTGATAGAAAGTATATGTTGATAGGAAATGGTGTGATGAGTCCTCGTGTGGCTTCTCTTCAGAAACATACTTATAGAAAATATAATGAAGAAATATATTTATATTGTTTTTTAAAAAACTGGCAAATCAATAAATACTAATTCTTTAAAATAATTGAAGTAATTTTCAAATAAAGCGATTTTTCTCGAGAAAAATTACTAGATTTTCGTCAATACTTGTACGGTAGGTTAAGGATAATCTCTTAGATCAACGATGAAATAGATATTTAGATTTTTGTTCACTTTTAAATGATCGTTAACATATTTTCTGTGTTACTCAACATAAAATATCTCATTGTGGAAAATTGTTTCAATTATTTTTTTTGTTCATTTTGATATTTAGGTTAGGTTGAGTTAGGTCCAAAGTGAGTGGGTCTATTCGACCCTCCACCGCAACCCGCAAGGGTGTATTGTGGCTCACACCTATTCATACTCGACCAAATAAACCCAGCTCCTTAACGAAGCCAATTAGTTTGTATGGTGAGTGGTCTTTCAAGTCAGATGGTAAGAGTACGGCCCTGCGAAACACTGAAAACCTGATTTGGTTCCCAGTGGGGCAGGCACAATGTATGTGCTGTTCTGTTTCATCATTTTCCAAACAGAGGCGACACACACCATCTTCCGACAGTCCGAGTCTCTGCATATGATGATTCAAATGACAGTGACCTGTAAGAAGGCCTGTTAGACATCTTAGTTTATCCCTACTGTAGTGCAACAACTGTTTGGTATCAAGCTTCGAAGGGTGAATAAACGTCTTGAAGTGAGCCAATCCTGTGAGAATCTGCCAGAAATCCGTAAATCTTCTTGTCATCCAGGTGTTCAATCTTTGTTTGGCAAAGGCTTAAGCTGCAGTTTCATTGCCTTCCAGGCCAGTATGGCCAGGAATCTAGACCAGAGACAATCTGTTAAGTCTTCCTATCGAGAAGAGTCGTTTTTGGCAATTTTCTACCAATTTAGACGTTGCTCGGTAAAAGCCAAGAGCCTCCAACGCCGCCTGACTGTCCAAGAATATTTGTATTGACTTGTGTATGAGGTTGGATTCTTCCAATCTCTCCGCACACAATTCAATAGCGTAAATTTCCGCTCGAAATATAGTCGCATAAGTTCCTAGGCAGGTTGATATCTCCGTCCTGGGTCTGCGACTGAAAACACCTGCATCAGAACTGGAAGGTGTTTTTGATCTATCTGTGAACCAACAACTATCTCCTCTCAATATTCCCTTCTACCGAAGGATCCAGTCCTCTCTACTCTGGAAGAGTACTTTATAAGGCAGTTCGTAGTTGACAGTTGGATGCATAAAGTCAAAGGTCATTGCCAAAATGTTGTGACTTCCAGTGTCAACCAACAGTCTGTTACTCTCTGCATTAAATTGATTTGTGCCATGGGCAATGTGCACAAGTCTATATGCAGTCCATCTAGCCTCTCTCTCCAGAAACATGTGAAGAGGAGGTACGTCTAGAAGGATCTCCATGGCCGCTGACGGTATGGTACTGATGCCTGAGCCGTTTTCTGTGAAGCCTTCGGTCACCAGAAAATTGCTCCATAAGTGATCATTGGTCTGACAGTCATCACATAAATCCAATGGATTCGTTAGGGATCTGAACGCCAAGTTTTACCACAAATGTCCATAGGAACAATCTGTCTTTGTGTAAAACTTTCCAAGGGAGCTTTTCAGGTGAGTTTTTCATCAAGGACAATGCCAAGATATTTCACCTCCATTCCCAATGGAATGACCTCACCATTGAATGAAAGTGACGTTAGATCGTCCAATGTTCTTCTGCTGGTGAAAGGTGACAGACGTGGACCTTGCCAAGATGACAAGGTCATCTGCATAAGCAGATTATCCATCAGAAGCGACCACAGAAGGGAAGATAGTACCCCACCTTAAGGACACCCTCTGCTGACCTTGAACCTAATGGCTTCACCTTGAAGAGTCTTAGTTACAGTTCTGTTTGCCAGCATGGCATAGATCTAGCCAGTTATGGTCGATTCTATACCATTTATCTAATCTCAGATCTCAACTCTGTACCCTTTCAAATTCGAATTCACACAATTCATTATTTTTTATATCATTTCCAAAGATTCCGTTTTATGTTTTATGTTTCATTTTCAATTATTACTTACCTACCAAAGATTGGATTCAATTGCCTTGTTACGAAGTTTTCTTTATCGTTAATGAATTTATCATTCACGGTTAAAAAAAGATATGGATCCGATTTCCCATTGACGTCTTTTGGCCTCAAGTTCAAAGCTCTGATACAATAAACACGAAGTAAATATCTCAATGGAGTATTTTGGGGAAAATTTTTGAAAAATCCTTCCTCCAAAGGCCAACCACGAGCCGTTACGTAGTTTTCATTGTCGATAGGCCATTGGTATATCTTAACAGAACCTTTGAATACTGAGGTTATTTTATTTTCATCGATTGCTTCATCGCCCATTCTTTTTCCTCTATATAATTCGAAAGACATCAGCATATCTGTGAATCCTCCAAATTCTGGTTGATTTTCTAATTCATTTCCATATATCTGTAAAACATGAATTATAAAAAAATACTAAAATAATCTTCAAAATTTGTTTCCGTTTTTACATTATTATATAACGATTAAAAAAAAAGTAATTTGGGAGTGATGAGTTTATTACTGATTCATTCCTTCATCATCGTCTCATTCAAATGGAATATACAATTTTTTATATTTCTGAAGTTACCTTGCAAAGTTAATTACAAAACTGTATCACAAGTTCCTTCCAACAGGTTGTGGGCACCATAATCAAAATTTTAGGTGACCCATTAAATAAAGAATGAATTCAATGGGTAGAAATTCAAACCTCTGAGGTGGAATGAATCTATCAAAAACACATTTCTCTCACCAGAACAAAAATTCTCTCTAACAACACGTTTCGCTAACCGAGTTAGCGTCATCAGTAAATAACCGAAACTACTTTTTAGAGATATCTCATTATGTGTATATGCTACACGAATTATTTCCTTACATAATAAGGGTCATCAAATCAATTTCTGGCATTTTATTATCGTTAGTATTGTTATTTACTACCTGATTTGACACCTCGATCTGCCTTTTTATCACCTGTGATTACGTACTAGACCGAACAATGAACTGTTAGGAATTAAACCTTCATCACCATCCATAGATCTCATTCCACATTTTTCAATTCCTAAATTTTTGAGGGCATTTGAAAAATTTTTGTCATGTGTGTTAAACTATTCGAGCATTATAAAGCCACTTTCATATTCTTTTGTTTTATTTGAACCAATCTGTTGGTGTATTTTTTTGGTTCGTATGGAAGAACATATTCGATTCAGGGAATCAGGCTTGTAAATAAATTATTTATTTGCGATCTATTATTGTATTGACAATAATGCACTGAAAAAATTGTCACAATTTACAAAATAATAACAAATTTGATAGAAAGAGCAAAGAAATCAATATGTTGAACAACTAGATATGTAAACTTGCTTAGTTGTTTTCACTGGTGATCAACTATCTAGTTTTGAAAATCCTACGGTATTGATCAGATAAAAAAATAATAAAATCGTTGGGCGTAGTATTTACATATTTACTCAGGTAACGCTCATAAAAAATTCGTGCGTATTTTTCTTTCAGATACCTACTACATCGGTAGTCTAAAGCCAAAGGTTACTTGATAAAACTCTTTGAATAAAAATGAGTCTTCACGCATTGGAAAATTGAGATGAGTTTTGTGTTCTAAATTAATTTTCCTCCGCTGAAAACCGGGTTTGTTAATTTGAGTAGTGATAGACGTACTTTATGTGAACCATTAAATAACTTCAAAAATCATTGAAATATATGAAACATTCATACAATTACACATCATCCACAAACTTGAAAATTCACTTTCTTGTCTCAAGATCAACAGAGAATAAAGATACTCTATAGAGAAAAAAAAAAGAACAATAATAACCTTCCTATTTCAAAAGTCAATAACTTTAACCTCTAATAAGATATACTATCAAATCCAAAATGTCTTCACGACTGAAGCACCTATGAAACCGTAGACTTTTCTTGTACTAGTGAATATATGCAAAGAAAATCGTAGGACAATGATTATTAAATTGTGAAATTCACAGGAGCATTGAGATTATATACCCGGTAGGTATTTTTTTTGACAGAAAATGTGAAATGACATTCATGAACAGTTATAAAAGTCCGATTCTAGGAACAATTAGTGTATCATTTCACTGTTTTCATGTACATTTTTTGAAAACAAAATTAAACAAAATCGACTTACCTGAAGTTTTTGTATTCGATTTTCGGGAATATTGTCATCATCGGCGTCTAATGGCTGAAAGTAATAAATTTGAATGAATTTTATACAGGGTGGAGCACCTAAAACGAAACAGATCAAATATCTTCAAAACCCATGTTTTCTGAAAGAAAAATGCAAAAACACGTCGATTCGTAATCCAAGGGGGACATCTTTCTATCATGACCTCAAGTGGCATACCTCCCCCCACTCCTCGGTCACCCAAACAATTTGAAAAGGGAAAGTAGTAAGTGTGACACATCATTAGGAAAGTTCATTTCATGTCAATTTTCGCTACCTAACTTTCTATTTTGACGCCCTCTTGTGGGAAAAAACTATTCCATATTCCCTATTATGATACTTCATTTGCAAGCTAATTTGACACAAATTCAGTAACAATGTATCATGGAATTTTTCTCAACATTTAGTTGCTACAAATGAACAATTTTCTTCTGTTTTATCGCCGCATCGTCCAGAGCCTTCTTGATCAAAGTGTGTGTTTCAAAGTCTACATGAAAAAAAAACCTAAAAGTTCTGTATTTCCAAGATGATTTTAGATAAACATCAAGTGTGCTACATTTTTCAAAGGGTAATCACAAGCTCTATTAAAATAAAAGAGTATACAGGGTGTCTTATTGGAAAAATGACTTTTCATCAATAATTATTGATATCTCATTTGAAAAAATAAATTTTCTATACCATTATAAAGAAGTGCTTTGGAAATGTTTCCATAGAATCAAGAAATTTTTGACAGAAAGAAAAATCACAGCAACATTTCTAAAATTCTCATTTTCGAAAAATATGCTGTAACTCAGAAACAATAATAGATATCGATATGCGGTTTTCACCATTGAGTTCGTCATGAAATTTGACTCTTAGACACAGCCATCAGTTTTCATCTATGTAGTTCGAAAACAAGAGTTTCCATTTAAAAGTGTCCAATTTGACTGTACGAATGGCCATTCCAGAATAGTTCACACTACGAGCTTTCAGAAAATGTAGGAATTGACCACTTCGTTTCCATCGGAAATGTATTTGATTGTTGAGGAAATTATGAGAAATTCTTTAACTAAATATTTCTTCAATTTCCCCTCGAACTTCGATTACTGTTTATCTTTTAATGGAGCAAAAAACTTCTTTGAATCAATATATTTTCCTTTTAATTTTTTTAATTTCTCGCAGTAAGCCGTTCCCTCAACAAGATAATAGAAACCCACGTTTTTTTTTACTTCTTGTGCTTTGCACTCTCTCTGTTTTCTGAAACATCTCTTTCGAAAACTCTGTATATTCATTGTATCAGGATATTGTTCTGCATATTATTCTACTAGATGAGAGCACCCTTTGAACATCACCCTTGAAAAATTTGAATGATATAAGAATTGTCAACAAACTTGACATTTAATGTTTGTTTGAAGGTGGTTGATAATGTTTCGTAGTGTATTTCATCAGTTCTGACTTCCATTGTCTAATATAATATAAATTGATTTGATAACCCCGAAAAATCAAAAAGATTACCCGAAAATAACAATTTTACTAAACAAAAAACTGAAATTACAAAGGAATAACATACAACAACAAATAAAAATTGAAATATTATTAAAAGCTGAAAAAATTGAAAAAGTAATAATAGTATCAACAGAAAATTAAAAGATTTTAAACCAAGTTATGTCACAACGTTTCGATTGTTAGTATCCACAATCGTCTTCGGGTGATAACTGGACTTATTCCTCCGAGATCTGACTATTCATAGGTCATTCGAGTGCTTTCACCTATCCTCTCTTCCCTCTTTCCGCTTCATTGGTTTTGGCATGGGTTTGGCGGGAGTTGGTCGTTTTTCGCTTGATTAGAGGTTTCCATATGTTACGTATCTTCACGCTACCTTGACTAAATGCGTTACTGGACAACATATACGCGGCTTTTTTGAATTTTCTCCTAAGCCAGTGTTCCTCTTTGTAGATGATTTCAGCTTGAGCCCACTTGATGTTGTGTTGATGAGTTCAAACATGCTCTGCTATTCCGGATTTGCTGGTTTCTCCTCGCTGTGTGTGTTTCTTGTGCTCAGCAATGCGAACTTTCAATGGCAATGGCAACACAACATCAAGTGGGCTCAAGCTGAAATCATCCACAAAAAGGAACACTGGTTTAGGAGAAAATTCAAAGAAGCCGCGTATATGTAGTCCAACAACGCATTTAGTCAAGCTAGCGTAGAGATACGTAACATATGGAAACCTCTAATCAAGCGAAAAACGACCAACTCCCGCCTAACGGTATATTTACATCTTGGATGAATGTGACAGAAATTGTTTATCATCCAGTAGAATGAATGCTGCTCGATATCCTAACCCAAGGTCTATACGACCGGAAAGATTTTGGAGGGTTGCAGGAAGATTCAAAAATTGAAATTTTATTATATCGAATGTGAAACCTATTTTTAAAGTACATCAAGTTCCTTGACAATATTCACATATGTGATGTCAGAGCATTCATGTGACGTCACATGCATCTCAAGGCCAAGTCATAGGCGAAAAGTGGAAAAGGGGTTTCATGGCCAAGTCAGTGTGGTAGCAATATTGAAGGGTATGTGTAAGGCACGAGTCTAAGGAATAACCTATGAGAAAAAAATACACTCGAACTTGGGTACATGAATATTCATGTACCATCGACATAGGTATAGAGCATTTATATACACAAATATATACGAGTGAAACCGCTATCAACAACTTCAACAATTAGGAAGCATGAGTGCCCCGATTCGAGTACATCGCACCCTTGCTGTCAAAGTGTCGAAAGCGGCACTGCAATACATCCTTGCACCACTGGATCCTCGTTCTGACTGAACGAATCACGGTAACTATCTGCTCACTGAGTAAGTGTAAAACATCTATCGCTAGGTGGAAGGCAGTATATCTCGTTGTTAAAATGACCTTCAGGGTATTATTGTGCATCCTCTAACCGCTGGTGCCTATTGTGGACTGAATGCCTTGATGAATTTATCTTATAATGAAACAAATCCCCACCACCCCATTCCAAAGTAAATCTTTGAGGTTTCATTCAAGGTCATGTATCAAGGACAAAGTCGACCGTCAACGTTGAACTCAAGGTCGTTCAGGGTCTTTTTGTATGATCTACACATCTTTGTTATACAGTTAATTTTTGAAATTGATTACTTCCTTCTTTCTTTTGGAAAAAGATGGAGAAGTAGAAAGCCAAAACCTCTCCTTCCCATAATGTAGATATTAATATATTTCCTACTGTCGCCAGTGAAAGACATTACATTTTATACCCTTTCATAGAATTGATAACTTTCAATATTCAACGAGCTACTGATACATAGTTCAAATGTGGATGAAGTGTGGGGGATTTTTAGTTTTCGGAGTAATAAATATAGTATATATACCTTGAGTGATGCATAAAATTTTGTCCACCAGTCGTAATCTTCATAATTCAAATTATACTGTTGGGGTAGTGTCTCATATGTTCTCAATGATGTACCGCTTGTTTTATAATTCAACTTTTCATTTCGAAGCTTTAAAATTCTTTTCATATATTCTATAAGAAAGCATGATCGATCTTCTTTCAGTTTATCGTTATTCTCAGTATCAGAATCAGTTTCTTCGCCTTTTCTACTCTTCAGTTGAATATTTAGAGAAGAAGCTAGAAAAAAATCCAGATTTACTACAAATGTATGAAGTTATTCATAAACCACTATAAAACAATAAATTTGTATCCAATAAAGTAGGTATATATAATGATGTCTGAAAATGTATACAAAGATATTGATCAAAATACCTAGTAGAATAGCAACATAAATGAACGAGGATATATGATGGAATCAGCCGATACTTGATGAAAATCCATAACTAACGTATTCTAAAAACACTTTATTGTGTGATTTTCACTAGATAGTTTTACAAAAACGCAACACGTGTTTCGCCATACAATGGCTTCCTGGTGCGTGTTGCGTGTTGAGTTTTTGTAAAACTATCTAGTGAAAATCACACAATAAAGTGTTTTCAGAATACGTTATGAACGAGGATGGTAATGAAGAAATTCGGAAACTCCATTCAACAATTCATTTCACTTGTGTCGTATTATACATAAGCCTAACAAGCTTACACATAATTATGGATTATAGGTTTTTCAGAGACGAGACGTATCCTATAAATTAATTATACGCATAAGTTAAACTTAGAGTTATGGGCCTCTTTTACTGAAGGCTTTAAATCAATTTTCATAGAGTCGCTGTGAAAGATCAGTTCTAAATGAAATGAATGAGAACACTGTTTATTTTGAAAGAGAAATACTTTTAGGAGTGACTAATTTTTGGTAAAGAAAGTTTTTGGCTTTCTACTACTCTATCTTGATATAGAAAAATGTGAAAGAAAGGAAGGAAGTAATCAATTTTAAAAGAAGTACCTAACTATATACATAGATGTGTTGATCATGCAAAGAAGTAACTTTCAGACGCAAATCTGAAAAAAAAAGCCTTCCTGGAACAGATACTTTCATATAAACATTGGATTACACGAAAGAAAAATTCTTTCGAAACAAATATGAAGACTGAATTATACAGAAAACATTTTTTTTACTCAGTTTGTATTCCAAACATTCGTTATGAAATTAAATCAGATATCATTCACAGGGTTTCTACACTATGGAAGTGGAATTTTTATTTCTATTTAATATATAGTGTAGATGTGAATGACATCTGATTTAATTTAATGACGAATATTTGGAATACAAATTGAGTAGAGTAGAAAAAAATGTTTTCTGTATAATTCAGTGTTCATATTTGTTTCGAAAAGAATTTTCTTTCGTATTTATATTAAAGTAGCTGTTTCAAGAAGACTTTTTCTTTCAGGTTTGTGTCTGAAAGTTACTTCTCTGCATGATCTACACATGCATGTATACAGTTACTTCTTTTAAAATTGATTACTTCCTCATTTCTTTGGAAGATTCCCACATTGACATTTATCAAACCCAAAGTAATCCTATGCCTGTTTAACTTTCTTCGTCAATTTTTATATTCAATTGATTGTTTGTGACTCATTTTTACTGCCCTGGAGAAGCTTTCCATTAGAAGCGAAAGCTTGGCAAAGTAGAGCAGAGTTTTGATTTTAATTTTTTGACTGAGAGATCCCATTAATCCATTTTACTGTTTTTTTGGGTTTCTCTTGTCTAGTTGAAAAACTCCAGACATCAACAGAAGATGGCAAATGGGATTTTGCCGGAAGGTTATGAGGATAAAAACACAGAACACGCAGTGAAACCCGAAAAAATAGCACATCATACTTTTTCCGTGAGAATATACGTGAATATCACAAATAAACTCATATTCACTTTTCCTTACCAGATTCTGAATCCAAACTATCAAATGATTTATATTGAATTCCAGATAACTGCTTTTTTCTCTCTTCTCGTTTCATGGGATACTCTATGAATGACGAAATATGACTTATATGGATTCCTCCAAAAATATAAACTCCAAATCGTCTACTGTCGAAGATTCTGAAACGAATAGGAGGCGCATAGTCCAATTGTGTTGGTAAAATCTGAAGTGAAAAATAAAAAATGTCACATTGCCAAAACTGGAGATATAATTGTTACGGAAAACGTTGAATTCAAATATCTACTAGAATCAAACTGTATACACTTTTGGAAAAGTTTCAAAAAAACACCTTTAGAAATCGTTGAAATGAAATTTTCAAAGCTGAATGATATTATATGGTTATAAAATTATAGAACAACGAATTTATTCATTCACAAAACTTCAAATGAAACTTGTCCATGTTCAATCATCAAACATCATGGCTAACGCAACCTCGCACCTGAAATTGAGCTCTACAAAGTCAATGGAAAATTTCAAATATACCCGAGTAAGATGGAGATCGAATTTTTATCAACACATTTTTTCAACTTGTAGTACTGCTTACCACAAGGCTGTACAAGATCAAAAAATTTCAATAACGTTACATTTCAAAAATAAATCAAAAGGAAAAGCGGTAGAACTCATCAGTTCTTGAAACCCTCAAACATGGGATGAAATAAATTCCTGTTAATCCAATATTCTGGTGACACTCGTGATTTATCCTCGTAAGACCTTCAAAGAACTCATCAAATTCCCAATGAGTCCCCTTTAACGTTCACAAATAAACTTCAAACCCACGATGCAAAAAGGCACGCGGCAATTAAAAAATGAACGCTTACTCCAGAAGAGACTAGAACCTATTATAGGACAAATAGTAAAAACCGGAAACCCAGTTTCCATGCTCGAAACTAATCAAAGAGCTCTCATACTTCAACAACAAAAATATCATCCAACACAAAAAACACAACCCTCCATTCAACAAAATCTGTAATCTCTGCAAGAAAGGGACACAGTCAAAGTGATTGTAGAGTGAGACCACAAATTCCCCAAAATTTTCAAAGACAAAACCCTCTATTCCAAAATGTCCAAAGACCACAAAACCCCCAATTCAAAAATTTCAGGCCCAGTATCCCCACAACTGTGACAGGTACAATTGTGATGAATCAAAATAGACCACCAGCAATAAAACGAAACCCGAATCAACAAAGACCTTCGGCAATCCAACCAAACCCTAATTTCAATGAAACGAATACTTAAAGAGCAGCACATCATCTCAACCCGTAAGATTTCGATAATCATACAGGTAATTATCAAGGATGCCGAAGTTCTGAAGAATTTTACGAACATTCTTATGACTATAGCTAGTTATAACAGCTAGTTATTCGGAATACCTAAATACAGATAACCAACCGATTCAGAATTTTCAAATAGAACAACCAAATTATCACCCTATCGAAAAAATTCAAACTCATATTAAAACTCCGAATAAAGACGATCTGAGCTCCAATTTGAATTTTCCAGAACATAAATTCATATAGGATAATCTTTCATGGATAATTTAAATTTTTTTTACTATATTATGAACGCTACCAACATGTTCAAAATATCAATTGACACAGGAGCCGGACTTTCAATTTTAGAAACGAAAATAGCAGAAGAATATAGGAAGCGATTTTCTGAGAATATGATGATCCAAGGCATTACCAATCAAAACATTTCATTTACCGAATCTGTATTGATACCTTTCTCAGACGCACATCACCACAAAATTTATATTCACTATCTCGACATAGAATTCGACTGACCTCTCAGAGCTGACTTTTCAAAACACTATAATGATATAGTTGGCATAAAAAACAAACAGGTACCTTTCTTCAAAGCATCAGGTACTGAAAACATCTCAGTACTACTCAACTACTTCAAAATCCAAAACCAAATATCAAGTCACATTCAATATAGAAAACTCCACTGCAGAAATTGACGATATTTTTGAATACGATCCTCACAATTATGCGTTCGAAAGTAAATTATATTATTACCGATATTCAAAAGATGAAATTCCAAATAACACAATAAACATAGAGCCTCGAATTGATAGAATTTCCAAACTAAAATGTGGCCTTTTGGACACTGATGCTATACTGGTAGCTCGAAACAAAGACAACGTTCGTTTACCAAATGCCCTAGTAGGAGTAAATGAGCAAGACAAGTTCTTGACCCCAACCATAAATTCGAACTCTATGCACAAAACGATATTTTTTTCTAATATAAAAATCGAACCTATTCAAAATTTTTGATCAAACCATTTAAACGAAACAAAAAAAGAAACAAAATAAAATTGATAGAGAATTTGACATAAAAAATTAAAATCCATTACGTTTAGATCATTTGAACGAGGAAGAATTTGAAATAATAACAGAAATATGTCTAGAATTTTCGGACATTGTCTATCTAGAAGGTGATCGATTAACGTTCATAAATGGAATCAAACAGTCTATAGATATAAAAGACGCAAAACCAGTCTTCACAAAATCATACCGCTATCCCCTAATTCATAAAGAGAAAGTCAAAAGACATTTCTCCCTGGTCATCCTCAGTGTGGGTTGTTTGAAAAAAACGCATCTGGAAAACAGAAATGGCGAGTAGTTGTTGACCACCGAAAGTTAAATGAACTCTCTGTAGATGACAAATACCCTCTCTCAATGATATCGGACCTTCTCGATCAACTCAGCGAATGTCAAAACTTCACTACCCTTGACCTTGCTTCTGGTTTCCGCCAGATTGAAATCAGTGACAAGGTCATTCCAAAAACGGCTTTCACGGTAGAGAACGGCCATTATGAATTTCTCAGAATGAGGTTTGGCCTCAAGAATGCCCCATCAACGTTTCAAAAAATGATGGATAACATTCTTCTCGGAATACAGAATGAACGATGTCTGGTTTACATGGACGACATCATCATCTAATTCCCTACCATTCATCATCACATATCCAGACTAAAAGAAGTATTTAGACTCCGTCAAGCTAATCTCAAAATCCTACCGACAGCGCCAATTTGTTATATCTCACTTTGGAAATATAAGTTTTTAAAAATTATCTATTTTGAAAAAGGAAAACAGTACTGTGTTCCCTTGAGTCGCACGATTAAACATAATTTATTCTTCAATCATCTGAACACTCGGCGAGTGCATTGTTAGAAATAAAGTCTTATATTCTCACCCAAGTTCAACATGAAACGAAATATTTAAATTTTCTCTAACCTAAAATGGGGTTGTTATACGTGATTGCTGACTCATGAGAATTCTATAATTTTCTATTTTTCTGGTGTCAATGGGTTCCTTCTCTCGCCGCGAATAATGATTTGAATTAGTATTTCGTAACCAATTAACTTTAATGGATTTCTTTAGAGTAAGTATTGAAATTTCTCTACAAATCTGCTTCTTTATGAATGTCGATGTTAATTATTAGATATACCTTAGGGATAGGAATTTATTTGGATGTTAATTAGTTGAGTAATTTACTACTATGCTGATTGAGGAGGATGCTTTAAATAAGTAGTTAAAGCATGAGTAGAATCAGTGACGGAAGATAAGATATGATCAAAAATTAATGTCATATTTTTGGCTTGAATGGTGTGCAGCCTCAAAGAGTTTCGTATTTCATTCAATGGATGTGCTGAATACAGAACAGTGTACTGATATTGATGCTTCATTCTCGAAGAACATTACATGTTTATGATAGTTTATGTCAACTCCAAGTGAAATTTCGAAAACTATCTGGATTATAATGCTCTCGAGTGTATTCCAAAATATTTGTTGCAGAGACTTCTAACAACCTTAGGATATTTCGAGGTATCCATTCAGTAAATATACATAGGTTCTACTTCAAAATGAATTTATCTCTTATGCATTGAAATTTTAAATTGACAAGTTCAGAAACGTAATATGATATATGTATTATAATCAAAGAAATTCATGTAATAGTGAAGTAGTATCTCAAAATATCAGCGAAGATGCTTCAAAATACTACCTTCGTTCTCGTAGTCGAAGTATACTACCGCTGGAGATGTAGTAGTATGATGAAATGTTTGCGACGACAAATTTCTTTCGGTCAGGGCTAAATTGCCCCGAATTTGTCTTCAATTGGAGTTTATAGTTTTATATTTATCATTTTGCCAATTGATACTTCAGAAGGGATGTCGATTAGATGAAATTCCACTTGTATTTGTCATATTTAATTCAGATGAAAACCAAATATTTCAACAAGCAAAATGAAATTTCATCCACTCGAACTTTATTTCTTACCAGATCTAACTTCTTCACTTGAGTTTTGAAATTTGGATCTTTCATTGCGTTTTCAATGGTATCGGAATTCAAACTCACATCACCGCAGAAAACAGATATTCTTGGTCTATTTATGTGAAACAGATTCACTTTCCGTAATTCTCTCACACCCCAAAACAAAATTTCCATTTTATGAGGTGTCAAATCTGGTTTTATGCCAATTGGAATTTCTAATTTGTATTTATGAGGAATATCTACTGGTTGGAGATAGTCTTTTGCTGTCAACTAGAATATAAATAATGATTTTGGGAAATAATGCGCAAAATGACTTTTTTCACTTCTATGAGTTCAAATGCAGCAAGTATTTCAGCTGCAACTTCTTCATTGAGATAGAGTTTTGTCCATTTCAGTTTTGGAGGGAGATATGTATTCCCATTTATTACAATATTCGGTTGAACCACTGTTCTTCCGAGTAGTTCGTTCTTGTACTGAAAAATATCGTAAATAAGATTTGACAGCTTATGTTATGTTACGGACAATGGATATTTACAAATTCATCCCGATCGAAACCCTCAATTAAAATCGTCGGAACGTTTGTCGTTAGATGGGACTTGGATCCATATAATGTAACATTGTCGAATATCAGAGTTTCGTCCCAGACTGGATTCAAACAAGCATAAATGACCTGAAACAATACAACATGGATAGAATTAAATTGCAAAATAAGGTTGGTTTGGTTTTAGTTTGGCTTATGGAATCATATTTGAATCAACCAGTTGAATACCTATTCAATTTAACGTTGTTGTCTTGTAAATAAATTATATTTTATGGAACGAGTTCAAATTTGACAATGGGCGTTCTAACTAGCACCGGTGGGGTTTGAACGAGTCAGCTATCTCTAAAAGGTTGTCAGCGGATTCCACCAAAAGAGACAATTCATTTCACGATGAGTCTTGACTCTCAATTCATCGGGTAAAGTTAACGAATTTTCCAGAAAAAAAACTAACTTGTGTGAGCTAAGCATTAACGAGGTCGTACCTTTTAACGACGTGTGATTTCTAACACGGATTAATTAATTATTTAATTTCCCCATCTAGAT